CCGATCAGAAGGTCAGCGGTTTGAATCCCCGCAACGGGGTGAGCTCCCTTTGTTCGGTCCCAGCTCCTGCCAACCTAGCAGTTCGAAAGCATGTCAAAGTGCAAGTAGATAAATAGGTACCGCTCCAGCAGGAAGGTAAATGGCGTTTCCGTGCGCTGCTCTGGTTAGTCATGCTGGCCACATGACCTGGAAGCTGTACGCCGGCTCCCTCGGCCAGTAAAGCAAGATGAGCGCTGCAACCCCAGAGGCGGCCATGACTGGACCTAACAGACAGGGGTTCCTTTACCTTTAATTACACAGGAGGCTGTCCTTAATTCTGCATTTGGTGCAGAGGTGCTTTGTTCTGAACCTACGGCAGTGCCAACTAAATTTCACTGGCCACTAGCTTTCCAGCTACCATGAAAAAAGAGACCAGTCTCTCTCCCCTCTCTCTACACTATAATTTTTCTGCTGGGGAAGATGCTATAGAGGCCCAGCAGTGTGTCAAAATGGGGGAACTTAGGCAATTTCCCTAGTTATGAAAATATGGTTGTTACAAACATTTTGGGCTATGTGCTGTTGGAGGGTAGACAGGTATACAAGCTCCCCACCCCAACCTCAGCCCTGTACTGAACATCTCTTAAAGATGTGTGCTAAACTATCTTCAAATGAGCACGACGGCAATTCATTTTCTTTGCTCATGTGATAAGAAAGCTGTTTATGTGATGCAATTTGTAGAAGTGGATCTTTTTGTTGATCAGGGACTGCAGGAGAAATGTGACGATGTGCCTTGGTAAATGTTTTGCCTTCTGTTTTAATGAGAGCTGCTAGACTACCACGCAGGTTCAAGGTAACCCCTATTATATGTCTGGCAATTGCCTTTTTTTCCCTTTTCCTTTTTTGCTTCTGCCTTGGCTGCTATGCTGTTAGTTATGCTATTTCAACGCCGTTCCAGCCTTTTCCAACCCGCTACGCCAAAGGGATGCAGCCCATTTGTCAGATATTTTCTCTCTCACCTTCCAGAAGCATTAACCTTCATTTCCCTGCAAATTAACCTCTTACAATCTTCTTGATTCATTTCTCTCCAGTCTCCTCATTTTCCTAGTCTTCTGCCGAGTTTGCTTAGAGGGGGAAACGAGAGTTTGTACTGAGAAGCAATCAGCAGCGTCCAATACACAAACACCCCTGCTCCCCAGTCCAGTGCAAAAGCGGGAGAGATCCATATACACTCCATAATGTCCAAGTGCAGAGTTGGCTCCAGGTGTCCGAAGACACCGTCCCTGGTGTCCCCTCCCTGCCATTGTTGCCAACTGCTGCTGCTGCTCCTTTTCCTCAATCTTTACTGCCAGGCAGGGTGCCCCCAAGGTTGAAGAAGACTACATGTACCATCACACCCATCTCCCAACACTGAGCAGCCCAACGCAACTTTCAGATCCTCCAAGTGTCCTTTTTTTCCAGGGACGTCTCCGATTTAGAGAAGCTGTCCCAGTTTTTGATTTGATCCCAGAATGTCCTGCTTTCCCTTAGGACGTCCCTATTTTCATTGGAGAAATGTTGGAGGGTATGGAGTTTTGTTACCTTTTTATATGTCTTGGAAGTCACCTAGAGTGGAAACCCAGTCAAATGGGTGGGGTATAAATAATAAAATTCTTCTTAATATTATTATGGAAAAGGACATTCCTATTGGAGGGACTGGTGTTATCATCTCCCACCATGGAGGCAGAGCAGAGCCGTTGTGCCTAGTGGCCATGGATGGTCTTCTCCGCCACCAATTTGCCTAATCCTCTTTTAAAACCATCCAAGTAGGTGGCCACACTGCCTCCTGTGTAGGTGAGTTCCACAGTTTAACTCTGTCCTGCATGAAGAAGTATTTTGTCTGCCCTGGCTCTCCCAACATCCATTGGATGTCCACGACTTCTGCTTTTACGAGAGAAGTAAAACTTGTGTTTATTCACTTCCTTCGTGCAATGCATAATTTTTATAAACTTCCGGCATGTCGCGTCATACCTGCCTTCCCCCCCTGAACCATTAAGTCCCAAACACTGTGACGTTCCTTCAAAGGGGAGCCTCTCCATCCCCTTCATCCTTTGGGCAGCCCTCTTCTGACCTTTTTCTAGCTCTACAACTGTAGAGTAGGAGAAAGACAGATTTGGCTCGGGGATTCCTAGTTGCTGATCTCCAATTTAAATTTGTGGGATTCTGGGCACAGGGTTTGATTAAATGCCCCGTGCAGTCCCCCTGCAGCTTCATGTCAGTAATGGCAATAATGGGAAGGGAAGCATACAAAATCCTTTAAGCTTTCTCTGGAGCACACCCGTGAGATGGATCACGGTGGAGGAGACGAGGTCATTTTTGTTACAGCAGACAGCTCACACAAGCAACATTTCAAGCACCTTCTGTTTGTAACCCTAATTTGTATATTAAAGAGACTCCCGCCGCTGCTTCTTGCCTTATGGAATCTAATGGCTGCAAACACTGCCTGCTTCTTCTTTTTTTAAATGTTCTGGCAGGAAAGGGATCTAAATCTTCACGGTCTCAATGCTGCGGACGCATATTGGAACCCAGGGAATCGAATATGGAATCAGGGAACTACCGTATTTTTTGCTCTATAAGACTCACTTTTTCCCTCCTAAAAAGTAAGGGGAAATGTGTGTGCGTCTTATGGAGTGAATGCAGGCTGCGCAGCTATCCCAGAAGCCAGAACAGCAAGAGGGATTGCTGCTTTCACTGCACAGTGATCCCTCTTGCTGTTCTGGCTTCTGAGATTCAGAATATTTTTTTTCTTGTTTTCCTCCTCCAAAGACTAGGTGCGTCTTGTGGTCTGGTGCGTCTTATAGAGCGAAAAATACGGTAACTTGCACTTCTAACTTTGCACAGTCTCCTTCAGGACAACCCAGGTGTTACATCTCTTTCTCTCCCCTTAGAATAAAAGAAAGCCTACTGCAGCCCTGAGTTAGGAGCCTTGTCATGGAGAAATAACAGAAAACCTTGCAAAATAAATAAATGTCTGTCACCAACACCTATATGAAGCCTGAATTCACCTGCCGAAAGGTTCATAGATATCTGAAATTTATTTATTGCATTTATAGCCCGCCTTTTATAGCCCATGTGGTTCTTCACCTTCTTGTTTAATCTCACAACAAGCCTGTGAGGTAGGTTAGGCTGAGAGACAGTGACTGGCCCAAGGTCATCCAGTGAGCTTCAAGGTTGCGTGGGGATTCGAATCCTGATCTCCCAGGGCCTAGTCCGACACTCTAACCCAGGGGTAGGCAACCTAAGGCCCATGGGTCAGAAGTCGCCCACAGGGGTCGTTTAACTGGCCCACGAGCCACCCCCGAACTGAGCTGCCCGCTCAGTGAGTCCCTGCGTGCTGCGCTAAAGCAGGGACTCACTTCCACGGCACCAGAAATTGTGTCTACGCAGACACCGGAAATCGCGTCTGCGCAGACACAGACACTGGAAATTGCAGGCGGGTGCACACTTTAGCAATCCGGCCCACAGAGGACTCTCCACTAGAGTGAACTGGCCCAGGCAAGGTAAACCTTGCTGACCCCTGCTCTAACCTCTACGCCATTGATAGAACCGGCGTGGCGCATGCAACATGCACAAGCTTCTTTGCACAATTTGCACAGCTCTGTTTCTTGGTTGCAGAAACTGGGGTTCTCTTAGCCCAGATGTTTTGTTAAGTGCAGCCCCAAGCATAACTAGTGGGTGGATGTTTGGATGTTGCTGCGCTACTGATCATCACGGCCCTGTGTGATGCCAGAAGCAAAGTGAGATCTTTCTCAGTCTGCAGAACATGCTGTTACTCAGGCTTTGTTCCAGAGTCTTGTAATCACAGGCTTCAGCAAGGTTTCCTGCAGGACTTACAATTCCAGCACAGAATGCTACAGTCAGTATTGCTGATCACTCTTAAATAAACCATGCCAGACTGCAAATCCCAATAGGAACATTTGGGATAAAGGGATGAAGTGTGCGCACACTTGCTCAAAGTTTTTTGTTTTTATCGAAAGAGACAGGGATTTCCCCCCACTGATTTCTACTCTAAACACAACAAGCTGGACCTGAGCCAAGTGTGAACATCTCTTTGAGACGGAAAACCAGCAACATCGCTGATGAAAGGCATGGCAAACGAAATCTCAACCTTAGGCTAAAAAGCAAAGGGAAACAAAGTGGGGGAATGTAATCTGTGCTCTGAATTGTGTAAGATACAGTTCCCCCACAACAGACTTTCCCAAACTGGCCACAGCCAGAATGGCCAATGGTCAGGAATGATGGGGACTGGAGTGCAAAATATCTAGAAAGCACTAGGCAGGGAAAGGCTGCCTCAAAATAATCATGCCAACAGAAACTGCTCCTTTTCTTATTGCACCTTCCTGTGTGATTCAGAGAAACCCAGCCAGTTAAGTATACGCACATCATTCACAATTGCCAGGGATGTTGCAGGGCCAGCCTTAACTTTAGGTAAGGTGAGGCAGCCTCCCTCAGATGGCCAGTCTTGAGACCCTGTTAAAGGGTAGCTAACTACATGGTTATTCTTAATTTGTACCTGCCGTGGACGGTTCCATTGGGGTGTTCTGTTTTGTGCATAAAATGGGCTGAATCTAGACATATATAAAAAAATGCTATGAAAATGCTGTTTTAAAAAACATTTTAAAATATATATTGAATTTCCCATTAGCTCACCATCACCACCAAGTGTCACATTTGTATAATGCACTTAAAACACATTTAAAATGTTATATTTGCAGCTGTATAGCTGACTCCATAGTTTTGGGGAATTGCTCTGGCTTTCTGTGTATATTTTTTGCTATGAGTCCCGAAAAGCGTGGACTGGCCCTCAAGTGCTTGCTTAAGTGTCATCCAAACAGTAATGAAGAACATGAGCTCTGTTGTATTGGGCCCAAGGCCCATCCGCTCACCACCCCATATCTTGGTGAAACATAGAGTCATAGAATTGTAGAGTTCGAAGGGACCACATGGGGTCATCTAGTCCAACCCCCTGCAATGCAGGAATCTCTTGCCCAAGTTGGGTCTCAAACCCATAACCCTGAGATTAAGAGTCTCATGCTCTACCAACTAAGCTATCCCAGAGCTGCACGCCAACTCCTTTGCATCCCAATTAATATGAGGGCACTTGTCTAGATGGTCAGATGATCAAATCAAGTATTTGGAGAGGAGACAATATGATCCGTTGTAGCCAGCAGAGCATCTGTTTAATTCAGGATTCGGCTGATGATGCAGAGGGGTTGCACCCTAAAAAGTAAGTTTCACTGGGGCTGCAACTTTGACAAATAAATTTGCCTTTGGATTTAACAAACCTGCACCACTAGCTGACTATGGAAGTCACAGCATTTCGCTGTGGTCTTCGGATTAAGATCTTGCCTCTACCACCAACTCACTCGGAGGCCTTGGGCAACTCATTGATCTCTCTCGCCCTCAGGGCCACTAGCAGGATTTTCTGAGACTGGAAGTCTAGCTAGGCGAAGCCATGGGTCCATCACGGTACATTCGCTTATATGTGCTCAGCTTCAGTTCCCTGCAATCTATGAGGACAGTAATATTCGCCTACCTTGCAGGATTGCTTGTAAGGAGGACAGACATAACATATGTGAAATGCTTTTTCTAACAATTGCTAAGTTTTGTTATTGCGCTTGCTCCTGAATCGTTTAGTTTTCTGCTTGTAGAATCCCATATAGCTAGCAGTTCTTAAGGGCATCACCGCATCCCCTTCATCAGCGACATCACTGTGACTCAAAGTGAGGATAATCCTCCTCCACTGGGAGTGACCCCCCCACCCCCACTCGTAACCCCAATTCCCTGCTGAGATGACAAGCCGGCTTTAAAGAGCCAGAGCCTCCCTTTATTGCTTCCCCTATCAGATTACAACAAGCAGGCTGTGGGGTGGTGGTCAAGCTATTTTTAGAAGCCTGCTTTCTAAAAATAGCGCAGAGATGTTTAGAATTGCGTCACAAGAGGTAATTTTATCCCCCGTTTGGCCTGACGGCCCCTCTCCCCCCCCCCACCTCCCCAGGAGGGGGTGACTACAAAAGGAAGGAGTTCTTGAGAACAAGGGGTCAGCAAGTTCAGACCCAGACAGAGAGAGGAAAGAGGTAAGAAGTCCTTTTAGGGGATGGTTGGGCCAGATCTGACCAGATCTTGTATGTCATTATTATTATTATTATTTTGCTACCCTAAGGAGGTGGCAAATCCAGCTGTCTTGCAGCCGCCTGGCGCTTAGCACTTGGATTCAGCTGAGTCGCCCTAATTTTAGCCCAGTCACTGCCAAGCAATAAGCCTGGCTTGTGACCCTGAACAGCTCTCTATCAATTCATTACCCGCAGTACCACCCAGTGGACAGCAGAGACATTGAAGCGCAGGGCGCATTGATGCAGCTAACTTCGGATCCAGTTGCCCCCTGGCTCTTGTGATCCAGATGCATGGAAAGGTCAGGCTGTGCTGGCTTAGTTTTTTCCCATCTGCACCAGGAAAGAGGCTGGGACCATTGCAGGATCAGTTTTGGCTCTCCAGATAATGATAATAATAATAACAACAGATGTTGTTGGACTCCAACTCCCATCAGGCATGACCATCGGGGCGAATGCTGGCTGGAGCTGATGGGAGTTGTAGTCCACCCGCAATATCTAGAAGGCCTCTGGTTCCTGATCCTTGCGATTTGCTCACATGGAAGCTGCGTGCCTTCCTGTACCTTTGAAGCACATTTGAAGCGCGTTCCCATCTGCCCCTCCAAGGAACTCTGCAAGCCGTAGTTTGTTAAGGGTTGCGGGGAGTTGTGAGGTCTAAACAAGTGTCCAGAATCATTTGAGGGGGAAACAGGAATTCAAATGTGCTTCAAAGTTATAGTACACAGCCCCAGGTTGCGTACGTGACGTACATTTAAAGCACATGACCTCCCCCCCAAAAAATAATAATTCTGAGATCTGTAGTTTGTTAAGGGTGCTTGTAATCATAGGTCTGTGGTGGGCCAACTATAGTTCCTGGGGCTTGGAGGAGCTGTATGTTTTAAAGATGCTTTAAATGCATGGTGTGTACACAGCCTTCATTTTTTAATTCAAAAATGCAGAGAGTGAAGTCTGTCTGCATGTTAATCTCTTTGCCCTCAGAAGCCCTTGCCTCTAATCCCAGATACTTAAGGGCTGGCTGTGGTTGTTCGGCAGCGTAGGAAAGGCACTCGGTGCATGCTCAAGGGTCTCTTTATATTCTGTTTACATGTTGACCTCTGGCACTGAATTCTGCAGCTGAGTTCTTTTTACAAATTAGCTTCTTGGATGTGTCGGAGCGTTCTAGGAATAGATTTCCGGATGTATTCCTCATTTTAAAGAACCCTCTTCCCCTGACCTCCTGAGTGTACTGCTCAACTTCCACTGTTTCAGTCTCCAAAGTGTCCCTTTGTCTTTGAAGTAGGGCAGTTTGTCTCCTGATGCAAGACTCTGGGCAGAAAGCATGATCGGGGTGGAAAAATTATATGCATCAAAAACTTTTGAAGCTGGTTCCTATAGAGTTTTGGCAGTCCTATTCCCATCCCTATACAGTGCCGGCCTCTAAAAGATTGATGCTGGCTACTGAAAATTTGATGCTGGGTAGTGAAAATTTAATGCTGGTGTCATGCTCCAACACAGATAGAGGTCAGGGTAGAAAGTTCGTTTCCAATTCATAAAAGAGGCAGAAAAACCACAAGATACATTTAAAGAACATGGCTTCCCTCCAAGGATTCTGGGAACTGTAGTTTATTAGGAGTGCTGGGAACTGTATCCCTTAAGGGTAAACTTCTGTTCCCATAATTCTTTGGGAAAAGCTGTGTGCTTTAAGTGTAATTTAAATGATTTGTGTGGATGTGACCAAAGTCACTGCTCAGTCGTCACTGAAGAATTAAGCAATGTACAGATGTAGTCTTAGTAAGCCATTGTTCTCATAACATATTAATAGTAAATATATTAAATCCCAATATAATAAATAACTAAGAGCCAAAGTAGAACACAATGCTAAACACATCATCTGAAGATACATCTCTGGTTTGTGTTTTGCTTTTTATAGTTAGCAACATATATAAATCCAATAAATAAAACAAATAGTTCCTTTTTAACCAGGCCTTTGGTTGATCTGATTGACATCCTATGCCCTTTTTAAAATGTGGTTCTTTTTTGAGGGGTGTGTGTTATTGGGTTGCTGTTTTTATTTTTAGTATATATATATATATATATTGTGGTTTTTATGTTGGTCTTTTCTGTGAACCGCCCTGAGACCTCCAGGTATAGGGCAGTATATAAATTCAAAAAATAAAAAAATAAACTTGGCCTGGTGCCAAACTTTGCAGTGTGAACTGTCCTGGGCTCCAGCCAGTCAGCCATGCCCTTTCCCAGGATACTCCATTACTCCTCCCGCCACAATTTTCCATTCCTGTCCCGCAACAAACAGTGTTCCATTGGCACTAAGCATGCTCAGTCCTCATTGGGCTGTTGGAGGTTCTCTGCCTCCTGCTGTTTGCTTAAAAGTCTCTCCCCTCCCTTTAAGGTTCTCTTTGTACTTCTGCAAAGCCTTGAAACCTTTCTCTCTTGTGCCCAAACAGCGCCCTTTAGGCAACATGAGGAACGATCTTCAGAAGGAGTCTGCGCCTTTACGGACACCCATTTAAATTTGCTATCTGTATGTCCATATATTTTGATGGGGTTGTTTTATTGCATATTTTAAACTGGTTTTTAAATATTTTGTAAACCATTTGATGCTCTGGCATTGATCAGGTTGTTGTTATTACCAAAACAGTGGTGGATTTTTATCAGGGCTGCTGCACGTAGCTCAATGCTTTCCTCCCCTTCACAGCCCCCAATGACAATTCTCAATGGCATAATGAAAGCTTCACTTTTGTTTACATAGGCTTTACCAATATCAAAATCTAACAATATCCATAGTAGTCAGTTTTGTTTTAGTGTTCACATGAGCTCAGCACCAAACTAGATGTTATACGAGAACCCTATTACAGTGGTACCTCAGGTTACATATGCTTCAGGTTACATACGCTTCAGGTTACAGACTCCGCTAATCCAGAAATAGTGCTTCAGGTTAAGAACTTTGCTTCAGGAAGAGAACAGAAATTGTGCTCTGGCGGCACGGCGGCAGCAGGAGGCCCCATTAGCTAAAGTGGTGCTTCAGGTTAAGAACAGTTTCAGGTTAAGAACAGACCTCCGGAACGAATTAAGTACTTAACCCAAGGTACCACTGTATTGCACTTCCCACTTAAAAAAAAAAAAAAAGGAGCTAGGATGTGACCAGCCTGGGACTGGGCTGTGGCCTGGTGAAAGTACTGTACTAGTGATAATCCTTTACCTGACAGAACTATGACTTAGCATGGCCTTGGACACAACCCCAGGACTCCCTCCCTCCTCTCAGTGTCTCCATCGCTTTTCCAGAACCATGACCATCTTGTGTGAAAACTGCCGCAAGCCAATCAGGACAGAGAACTGCATCTCGAGATGCCCAACTGCATCAGTCTCCAGGCGGGAGATCAGGACCACAAAGACATTCAGGTTAGATACTATCCTGCTCTCTTTCCCTACCTGAGTCTACATTGCGGGCAGGGCAGGGGAAGAACCAACTGCCTCCAGTCAATTTTCTTGGTGCAAAAATCCTCCTATACATGTGTACACCATCTAACAATAATGTTGCTGTCCCCCTTTAGAACTACAGGTGTTCCTGCTTTGTGTCCAAATTTAATAAATTAAACTACTTAAACTAATCAGCTGAGGCACACAGCTACAATCCTAAGCAGACTTACCATGGGATGTGGAGCAACTTCCAAGTAAATACCTCATGTTACGTTTGCTTCATGCTACATTTTTTCAGGTTGCGTCCCGCGGCGACCCAGAAGTACCGGAAAGGGTTACTTCCGGGTTTCGCTGCTCGCGCATGCGCAGAAGCGCTAAATCGTGCTTCGCGCATGCGCACAACCACCAGATCGTACGGCGCTTCAGGTTGCTGGCTTTTCATGTTGCAAACGGGCCTCCAGAATGGATCCCATTCGCAACCAGAGGTACCACTGTATACATAGGATTGCACTGTAAGAGTCTCTTCGTTTCAAACCAGCATCCCATCTGCCTACTGCTCAACTGTTCCCAATTTAAGTGGGGATTACAGAAAACCATTCCCGGCTTCTGATTGGATCCCGGAATGTCCCATTTTTGGGTCCGGAGCTCTGGCACTAGTCGGCTGCCTTGTGCCGAGCACTGGACCAAAAGCTGCTTGTTTTTTTGGTCTTGCACAAGTCAGCTGGCTCCTGCAGGAGCACTAAAAACAAGCGTCCCAGTTGGGACCACTCTGATGCTGGGGGAGATGCATCTGTTATGGCAGGGATATGGAACCTCTGCAACCTTCCAGTTGTTGCCGGACTCCAGCTCCCATTGTCCTGACAATTGGCCATGCTGGCTGGGGCTGATGGGAGTTGGAGTCCAACAAGACCTGGAGAGCCACAGGTTCCCCATCCCTGCGCTAAGGCTTTCTGTGGCTGGAGTGTTGCTGGTGTTCTTTCTGTAGCCAGCAGCTGATGCTCAGTGAGTAAACACCATTAGTTCCTGACAATATTTTAGGGTTAGCAGCACAGCTGTTCCGAAGCATCTGCAAAGCACTTGCTTCCTCTGCTGGGACAGGAGATGTGCTCAATGCTAGATGCCAGCAGCAGAGCAGAGAGCAAACCGGAGCGGTTCAGCCAATGCCAAACCAGACCTGTCACCTGTGGCAGCACCGTCAACTGGCAGAGCCTGTCCTGGTCCCACTTACCGATGAATCATTGAGGCTGCAAATGTTTACATGGCCAGACTCCAGACGGAAGCTGCGGGTCCTATCTATCTCCAGGTTGCACATGAAAGCATTTCCAGCAGAATTGTAAAGTGGGAGGCATGAAATCCTCTTCCCTGAAGGAATGGCTGGAAGAACATCTGCTGGAGAGTCTTCTAGGGGAGAAGCTCAAGTATGATGTGGACCTTGTTCGGCTATATCCATGCCATACATTTAAAGCACTATGGTCCCTGCTTTAAACAGCTATGGCTTCCCTCAAAGGATTCTGGGAGCTGCAGTTTGTTTAGGGTGCTAAGTGTTGTTAAGAGCAGTGCTTTCCCCCAAAAAAATAATGTTTCGGGGTACTCTCATTTTCCTACTCATATTGAAATATTGTCCCTCAATGAGGCCAAACTTAGAATCACAAAATGTTTAGGGGTATGCCTAAACCACCAGAAAAAAGCACTGGTTAAGAGAACACTATTCCCTTCACAGAGCTACAGTTCTTAGAGTGCGTTAACAATCTATTTCTTTTCACAGAGAACTCTAGAAATTGTAGCTCTGTGAGGGAAATAGGGAGTCTCCTAACAACCCTCAGCAGCCTTAAACAAACTACAGCTCCCAGAATTCTTTGGGGGACGCCATGACTGTTTAAAGCAGTATCGTAGTGTTTTAATGTATAGTGTGAATGTAGCCTAGAGAGATCCATGTCACACTTGAGCCTCTTATAACCTGCTTATTTACCTGTTATTCAGTTCTCAAATCTTTAAAGTTCCTTCCCCACCAACATTCAAGTAAAAATGTGTCTGTATGTGTGTGAACAATAATTCACAGATACGGATGCACGATCAAATACATGCATGTTATATACACATTTTCCCAAGGCTATTTAAGCTATTTAAGTTGTGTGTGAGTGTATGTTATATTATTGTGCTATACAGCATATGTAATACAATCATTATTAGCCGCTGAGAGCCTTTTCTTCCACAAAACCTGAAGATCCAAGAACAAATTTTGGGCGTTACCAGCAAAAGCTCCTCTCTCCTTTCCTCAGTGCTCAATATTAATTGAAATCTGCAATCCTAAATGTTGCAACTGGGGAGTAAGGCCCACTGAATTCAGTGGGATTTACTTCTGAATCAGCACGCTTAGGATTGTGCTATAAGTGTTGCCCCATAGGACACATTTCTACATCAGATAGACGAGGCTGCGTAGTCCCCTAGTGACCACCAGGACAAATACCCTTAGGAGAAGGAAGTTGATTGGCTGGGCAGAATAAAGGGAGTTCATGGTTATTCTTCTACTGATTATTTGTAAAACAAAAAACAAAAAAGTCAAATGTGCTTGGGCTACATGTACACCAAAATGCACATGTCCCTGCCCTCAAGCTTACAATCAAAACAAACTTTTTAAAGCCAGGAAAGTGCTTGGATTAACTTCGGTGGAGCAAAACCAGTACAGTGGTACCTCTGGTTACGAACGCTTCAGGCTATGAGCTCCGCTAACCCAGAAGTAGCTGCTCCTGGTTGCGAACTTTGCCCCAGGATGCGAACAGAAATCACATTTCGCCCCATTAGCGAAAGCGCGCCTCAGGATAGGAACGGTTTCAGCTTAAGAACGGACCTCCGGAACGAATTAAGTTCGTAACCAGAGGTACCACTGTACTTTGGTTTAAACACAGTGGTGAGGGAAGGGCCATAGCTCAGTGGCTCTATAGCTCACCGTACCTGTCCAGGTCCAATCCCTGGCATCTGCAGGTAAGACACCTTTCTGAAGCTCTGGAGAGCCACTGTCTTGTCTGCATAGACTAGCCTCCCGCCAACCTCGTGCCCTCCAGGTGTTTTGGACTACAGCTACCATCCTTCTTGACCATTGGCCATGCTGGCTGGGGCTGATGGGAGTTGTAGTCCAGCAGCATCTGAGGGGCACCTGGTTGGGGGAAAGACAATACTGAGCTAGGTGGGCCTATAGTCCAACTTGATATAAGGCAGCTTATCCCTTTTTTTTTAGCACTGGTCCCTGGGAAGATGCATCTACTCTGCACCACCAGTTCTTTAAAGTTCCCAGCTCCAAGAGATGGGAGTGCTGACGCCTGTCTGCCAGCTTCCAGCCCCTTTGCACAGCTGAATGCCTCGCATGGCTGCGCGGCGGTTGTCATGGGAACCATCACATACAATAACTGAAGTGCATATTGAATTTCTATGCTGAATGGTCCACTTTCAGCAGCACAGAATTCCCCCCGAATCCATCTGCTCTTTTCTCCCTCCTGATCTCTAATGCTGCTGTTTCTTTATTGATTACCCTTTTTCTAAGCTCTCCCTGGGGCTCCTTTGCAAAAAAGAAAAGAAAAGGAGAGAGAGAGAGAGAGAGAGAGAGAGAGAGAGAGAGAGAAGTAATGCAAAACAAACAAAAGAAAACAGGGTTTAGCCAGCTAAAAAGTAAATGCTTTCTTTAAAAAAGCAAAAGCAAAACTGAAGCATGGTCCTAGTCAAAAGATGCTTTCTGTCTCTGGATGGATTGTGGATGGTCAGATACAAAGGAGGGCAGAATCTTTGTTTCTGGGATGCGGAAGCACCTGCGACCCTCCAGATGTGCCCATTGGCCAACCTGCCTGGGGGAATCAGCGGTCAACATCTGGAGGACCACAGATCCCTGATTTCATAGTCACAGACTACTCCTTTACTCCTCCCTCCATGAAAACTGCACATACTCAAATCCCTTCTTTTGCACAACTATGAAAAAACAAGAGTCCTTCTGCCTCCATCTGCATCTGTTCCCCTGCTTAATATGGTTGCTGTTCTGCACCAACTTCAGGTTGAGCAGAAATCCAGGCTGCTGCATTCCATTCCTTAGCCAGGCATGGGGAACTGCAGGCCCAGGGGCCAAATGTGGCCCTGCAAAGCCCTCTTTCTGGCACTTGGGTCTTTCCATCTTCAGCCACACACCCTCTCCACAGGCCGCACCCCTCACCAGCCCTGCTTTGCACCCTCCTGGGGTGTTTTTGCCTGGCTGGAATGTGTCCTTGAACTCTGATAATACCTCTTGCTTGCTGTCAGAAGCGAGCCAGCAGTAAATCACACCCAGCAAGTTGGAGTTAACTCTTTGTTAGCAAAAATACCAACAACAAGTAGCACAAACATGGTGGGGTGTCCGGCCTAATGAGCACAGGAACTCATCTCCGTCTTGCCCTCCATGAAGCAGTTGCTAAGACTGAAGGTCCTTGCCTTCCCACAGCTATCTAAGTTTCCTCCTCGCTAATGTTTTTTCCAAGCAATCAGAGACTGCGCCTGCTTGCAGTCTTTCGCTGCTCTGCCTGTTTCATGCCTCTTCTGGTTCTGGGAGATCGGGGGGGGAGGGGATCTCATTGCAGCAGGAGGGGGAGACACCCATGCTTCTTCACTATCCTGACTCATCTCTGCCTCTTTGTCAGTGTTTTGAAAAGGAAAAGGTTCTGACCTCCTTTTTACTCCTTTGCCTAGGCCTCAGACCTTTGTTGGCACAATAGAGTCTTTGAGAAAGAGTATTCTCGCAGAGTATTGCTGCTTTTATTCTTAAAAAGTCTTCTTCTCCAAGCACGACCGACAGCTTTTACACACACCAAACACAACCAGCTTTCTACCATCCAACCAACCCACACCACACACTAACACTGACCACTCTATATATACAGGTACCATTTGGTGAAAGGTTGCATGAGTCATTGTAGGCCGCTGACTCGTGCTGACTTAGTTCTTTTAGCATTAAAGAAACAGCGGCCAATTTTTAGCCGTGACACTCTTGGCCTCCCACATCCAGTTCTTCAGCTTCTGCCTCTGATTCTGAACTTCTCTCTGCCACAGACTCTCCCAGCTCACTGAGCCCTGTTACCTCTTCAGCTTCCAACTCCTCCTCTTCCCAGTCTTCTCCCTCTGACCTCTCAACGTTGTCCCACCACCAATCTCTGGGCTCTGAGCCTCCTTCCCTTGAGGGTTCCCCAGATGGTGCCTTCTACCATTCCTTTGCCTAGTTGGAGGACACAGAAAGGTGTGCAGGTCTAATATGCTCTACAAAGGTAAAAATTGCATCCATTGCTCCACCTAAGTCAACTAATGGAGGAGGAGTCAAGGGAACTCAGCCTACATCCTGCCATCAGGAACTCAGTACCACCTCTGCTGTTGGGAGCAGACTGTGCCCCTTGGAGAAGCATATTCCTTCAAGCACACCAGGCTCACAGAGGGAGTATCGCTGGCAGGAGAAGCATGACCATTTGTTGAGACATCTCCACAGATATTATCTGGCCTCAGATTCCTGATGCTGTTCTCGGACTCTGTTTGTAGCAATCTGTACCTGTAGCCTGACCTGTATTGCTGTAAGCCTTGAACAAAGCTTTCTCTCTTTCCTGCACGTAAAAACCTCTGTCATAGCATTTGGGATGGCAGCCGCAACAACATGGCATCGACACCACTGAAGGCACTGCGACTTACCTTTGAGTAAACCTGCATTGGGTTGTGCTGTTAAGTCAGAACTGTGACTAATGCAATTTTTCTCTGCCACTGTTAAGTGTGCAGAGCATTAAGAAAAACACCCTATAATTCATACCTTACAGCACAGAATGATCATTAATATTCCTGTTTTATACTCAGAAGGCACTGAAGCTGACAGAGAATGACTTGCTCAAGGCCATCCAAAGAATTCATCATCGATGAGCAGAATTCTAGATGCCCAACCTAAGGAATGATCTAAAAGTTAGCACCCTCCTCACCTTCCTGATGTGAAATGGGTGACAAAAAAACCCTTTGTGTGGTGGTAGCTCCACAGAGGGGCTTAACATTTGAAAGTGATTCCCCACATGGATTGATAAGGCCCAGCCATGTGATAAGGTATCATACTAGTTGCCAGTGATGTGGACACTTGACACCCTCCAATGTTTTTAATCCAGTATGCACCTTTGTCTTTTGCTAGGGCCGGCCCTGCCTTTAGGCAGAGTGAGGCTGTTGCCTCAGGTGGCAGATACTGAGGGGTGAGAAGTGGCAGTGAAATACAGCAGAGTGGTGTTTGCCCCATACCTGCCCTGCTCCCCCTAAGCTAGCTTGTTGCCCTCAGGCTGTGTAGGAAGATGCTGTCCCATCGCCATTGTTGACATAAGATTCAACAGCCAGTCTAGTGAGTTTCCGTACATGGAATGTGAGGGGCTGCCATCTTGTTCTTTGCCTCAGGAAGCAAAAGGTCTCAGGCTGTCCCTGTCTTTTGGAAAGTCTTATGTAACCCTATGCAAACCAACTGCTTGCCAAACTATGAGTGATTTTCCCTCAGTCCAACAGTTGCCTCTGAGGCCTTGTTGCTACCAAACTGTTAAACCTGGGGTAACCTGTATCTCTTCACACTTGATCTTAGTCAAAAGGCTGGAGCTGTATCACTTCAGATTGGAATAATAATAATAATAATAATAATAATAATAATAATAATAATATATTTTTTTAAAAATGCCACCCATCTGACTTGGTTGCCCCAGCCCCTCTGGGCGGCTTCCGACAACTTGAAACACAGTAAGACATTAAAAAAAATTAAAAACTTCCCTTCAGATGTCTTCTAAAAGTCAGATAGTTGTTTCTTTCCTTGACATCTGATGGGAGGGTGTTCCACAGGGCAGGTGCCGCTACAGAGAAGGCCCTCTGCCTGATTCCCTGTAACTTCACTTTTTGTACTGAGGGAACTGCCAGAAGGCCTTTGGAGCTGGATCTCAGTGAAAGCTCACACAAGTGAACACATCTCCATTCAGAAAAATGCCCTGCACCTAGAAAAGTAGCAAGTCAAGAAGGAAGCTGGGATAGAATCCTTCTCTCTGGCATCTGGCTTCCTTTATGGATGGATTTTGGGTTGTTGGGGGTTTTTTTAATAGAGGAGCATTCAGTCCACCTGAAGTATGAAGTGGAACATCCAAGACTGAGATTTACCATGTCAGGGAAAATTAAGCCTGAATCACACAGGCCTGAAATGGTCTCTCTTGAACAGTTTAGCACAGTCACTTTGGGCCCATTATGTGTCTGAATGCTGGTGAAATTGTCTCTTCAGTGAGAAATCATATACATCGGGGAGAGTTTTCATTTTCAGAAAAAGTCTCCTACTGTGCCGTTCACTGAGCCTTAAGTTATAAACCCATCTGGAATAGTTGCTGTTCGCACCACTGTGAAATGGTCCTGTGAGAGGAATGATTCTCTTTGTCCCCTTAAGTGAGGTAAAACATTCTTTTGACAACTTTGCCTTCTAAATTTTAAAAGGCAAAGTTGTCATAATAATATTTTACCTCATTTGTTTCCAGTGGGGAACGATTCATGGCATCATATAGTGAAACACTGGTTGTATGAGAGGGAACTTGCTTAGTTCTGAAGCCTTTCTCCTAAAATGGATTATTCCCGCTTGCACCGCATGGGATGCACTTACAAGGAGAGATCTACGATGAATTCGATTCCATTCGCTTTTAAATGAACGAGAAGCTATCTAATTTGTTCTCAAACCAGTGCTCAGATGGAAACACAGCTCTTCTTCAAATTTCACACTTCTCTAAAAGTGGCAGGGCAGCTCTTCAACCAATGTGTATGAAAATGCAGACTGTGTGTATGTGTAAAAATGCATTGCCTTGGGGAAAATAATGCATTGCACTGAGGCAAACTGCCAAATATACAAAAATGCTGGTGAATTCTTATGAGGGGAAAAAATCATACATTGCTGCAGAAATGTGAAGAACTGAATTTGAGATTGGAAAAATGGGAAAGTGAGGAGAACCCAAGTTGTCAGGTGTCTACCCCTATGCATAAAGTATATCACCCATGTAAAACTGAGGTGAAATTTTTTAATTAACTAAGTCAAAATGGCAGTGGAGATTAGGGTCCCATCTGCGCTATACATTTAAAGCAGCCTGGGAACTGTAGTTTGGTTAAGTGTGTGGAGACCTGCTAGGAGACCCCTATTCCCCTCACAGAGCTACAATTCTCAGAGTGGTTTAACAGTCAACCCCTCTTCCTCATGAACTGTGGGGAATTCATGGCCTCTGTATGTTTTGGGGGGGCAGAATCAACTTGCAGTCTTATATTGGAGCTACAGTTTCACAAGACCTCTTTATTGTATGAAAATTGGGGGTGGTCATGTGAATCAAACTGTCTCATATGTTGGGAGTGTTGTAGGAACTTTGTGGGGCCATGCTGAGTAAACTGTCAAGTGGTCTCATATCTTGCAACTCTTGGTCATCAGGTCAACTAAAGGTGCTTCCAAGGCTCGCCGGGATCAGATCAACGCTGAGCTGCAGAATCTGCGCTCCCTTCTGCCCATCTTGGAGCAAGAGAAGGAGCGCCTCTCATACCTTCATACCATGGCTCTTGTCTGCTTCTACATACGAGAGACGCAGCTTTTCCCCTCAGGTGAATATTAAGCCTCTCTTGCGATGATTGTTTCGATTAATGCTGACTTTATATGTCCTCAGAATGCGGTGAAGTTTCTCTCTTTTTTTTAAATGCTTTTTATTGGCGTTTCATTTAAGACAAACAAACAAAATACAGTAAAATTCAACAATCATTTACCCACATTCTTTCCCCACTCTCTGCTGAGCATGGACTTCCTTCCCTCCCTTCAACAAGTTTTCTTATGTCAGTTACTTTTCCACAGTTTCTTATTGTATCCAATCCTACCTACATTGTAAGATTTATTTCAGTCCTGCCAGAGTCTTCAGATTTCTAACAGTTATTATTTATGTACTCCATAAATTTACTCCAATCTTTTTGGAATTTTGCTTCCTCCTGATTTCGGATTCTACAGGTCAGTTTTGCTAGTTCCGCATAATCAACCATCTTCGTCTGCCACTGTATTGTTGGTAATTCTGGTACTTTCCATTTTTGGGCTAACAAAGTTCTGGCAGCAGTCGTAGCACACATAAATAACCTTTTTCTATTTCCTCTCCCATCAAGCCTAGCAAGAAAGCTTCCGGCTTTTTCGGGAAAGTGTATTTAAATATCTTTTTCAGTTTGTTATAAATCTGTTCCCAAAACTGTTCCATTTTCTCACATGTCCACCTTGCGAGACCTCTAAAAAACCCCACACTGCTCAGAATTCCCCTAAGGTCTATTCCGCACTTCTTTTCCGATGGCTGCGGCAAACAGGAAGTCTAATGTGGACAAGTTTCTCCAGTGTGATGTAGGCCTCCCTAAGGAAGCTTGGACAGTTGCTAGAGAGGGACACACATTCTCTTTCTGCAGTAAGGGTGGGGAAATTGTAGCTGCCCAGATGTTGTTGGGACTCCCATCAGCCCCAGCCAGCACCGCCAGTGGTCAGGGATTGTGGGAGAGGTGGTTCAGTGACATCTGGAGCACAAGTTGGTGGCCCATTCCTGCTGTAAAATGTTTGCACGTGTGGCGAGCGGTCACAGTGCTGACCTCCCTCTCACCAATCTTACTTTATCAAGATGCATTCTGAAAAACAGCAACGAAGGTGGTGGGGACATGATACCTTGATTTAGGGTGGGGTAAGGAGAAGTGACTGTTGGATTGAATAATCTTAGGAAATCACAGGTCTGTAAGTAATGAGTTGGCAGCCAGCCTCCAAGCTTGCTCCCATGCAAAAGCTATTCCAGAAGATGGGTAGACTGAGTTACCGTATATATGACACAATTTAAAGCACATTCAGCACCTATTTCAAACACACGAATCCTCCCAAGTGGCCTAGAACTGTCACTTTCCCCTCACAGAGCTACAATCCCCAGAACCCGTTACAAACTACAGTTCCCAGGATTATTTGAGGGAAGCCATGTGGATTAAATGTGTGTTGAATGTGCTTTGAATGGATGGTGCCGATCTTCCTCGTGTGTCTTATCCAATGTTCACTATGCCAAAGATATCTCCCTGTGGCGTTTTCACATCTGTTTGCTTGCATCTGCTCACAGGGGTGGCTTATAACTTCCTTTTATGAAAATATTTACAACTCTCTTCTTCTTTCTTCTTTGGCGATCACTCGTAGCCGAGCAAGATTGTCTCCCATGAACATGGTCTTAACAGTGAGTCCATAAGTGACTGTGGAGGCCAATTCTGGATCCACACATCCTTCCACAGTGGGGACATAGATTTCCAGGTGGAAGTAGATCACAGTGAGGGTTTCCCAAACATGCCTTCCTCTTAGCTCGTTTCTCCTTTTCACCCTGAGTTCGTGCTTCCATGACACCTTGGGTAAGGGCTGTTCTCCAACTGGAGCGCTCGCAGGCCAGTGTTTCCCAGCGATCAGTGCTTATACTACATTTTTTAAGATTTGCTTGAGAGCGTCTTTAAACCTCTTTTGCTGTCCACCGGTATTTTGCTTTCCATTCTTAAGCTGGGAATAGGGTAGTTGCTTTGGAAGATGATAATCAGGCATCCGAACAACATGACCAGTCCAACGAAGTTGATGTTGAAGAATACTCAATCATATTGGGATCTGAGCAGAGAACGAGAAGACATTTGAAACAGTCGCTCCATTAATACAGGAGGGTCTGGGGTGGACATGGGAATTGCTCACACTTACCAAGATGGGGCAGGTCAGGGTGGTGGTGAGGTCAGGACTCCCTAAGCTCATTGGTGGCTGCACCTGATTGGACAGGGTGGTGGTGAGGTCAGGACTTCCTAAGCTCATTGGTGGATGCACCTGATTGGACAGGGTGGTGGTGAGGTCAGGACTCCCTAAGCTCATTGGATGCACCTGATTGGCTCTGTCAGTGCATCTATGGAGCGCCCCCTACCTTTACCCCTGCACCATTCATGGAAGCATCAAGGACTGTCACAGGACACCAGACCCCTCCATACCAGCTGCTCCTGTATTAATAAAACTAAAGGGTATAAAGCAATAAATGACAACAATAATCTTAAAGCACAGAAAAGCTGGTTTTCCCTATTATCAGTTAACAATAAACACCACCACCGTGAATTCAGACTGGAAATGTTCACACATGCATTCTGCAGTGGTACATTTTCTCTTTCTTCCCCCTCACAGGGGAAACTGCAGTTTTCATCAGGAAAATGGTATAAGGGGAAAGGGTTAAGTAGCCCCCCCCCCCGCAAACGCCATGGCCCCAACCTGACCCTCCACCACTACCAGTGGGGTGGTGGCTGAACTCTAGGAAATTATGGTTGTGGATCTTCCTTGTCATGTCTAATTGCACCCTTATTTCTATTTAAAGGAGATATAGGAGAGGTAGCGAAGAGTAAGCATACAGTGAGCAAGCAGCTGGCTTTATGAATGGGAACACTTTATCCATCATGGTCTCCTCTAAGGTGTATTTTACCTGAAGACATTTTCCTGTCTTCCCTTTTTCTTTTTGAATTGTCCCTGAGAGGATCAGTGCAAGAGCTAACATGCCCTTTAGCTGCATTTTTTACAAAAAAAAAACACCAAAAAACATTTTTTGGTTTATTTTTTGCAGTGCCATTAGATCACACGATAAAGTGAAAGAAGCTGCAATGACCTTGATATTGTTCTTCCATAATTATGTTCCAAGACGGGCATGTTCTGTTCTGCACAATGTATTGCCTGAAAGATGTTGTTCTCTTCTAATCTATAACATAGAAGGAGGAGCTCACTTGGCAGAAAACAGCAAAGACCTAAATCAACCTCACGGAGACGGATTTCTGCGGAGAGAGGAATTTGCTGTGATAGCCTTGATTAGTGAAACTGACTAAGTAGCGAGCTGGAAAGCAAGTGCTGAGGGAATGCAATCTGAGTTATTCAGACTGAAATCCTACACTTACCTACTTGGGAGTAAGTCTCTTAGAACTCAGTGGGGCTTACTTCTGAGTAGGCAAGTAGAGAATTCTGTTGTTATATGTTGGTGTGTACAAACCAAACATTTGAGGTGCGTTTCTCACCCCAGAACCCTGGGAGCTGTGGTTTAACCATCACAGAGCTATAGTTCTCACATCCTAAACATACTACAGTTCCTAGGATTCTTTGGCAGGGAGTGTTTTTAATTAAAAGCATATACACAGCCTTTGGCTGCAATCTTGTACGCTCTTAAGGTAAAGGTAAAGGTACCACTGATCATTAGGTCCAGTCATAGCCGACTCTGGGGTTGTGGCGCTCATCTCGCTTTAGTGGCCGAGGGAGCCAGCGTTTGTCCGCAGACAGCTTTCGGGTCATGTGGCCAGCATGACTAAGCCGCTTCTGGTGAACCAGAGCAGCGCACGGAAACGCCGTTTACCTTCCTGCCAGAGCGGTACCTATTTATCTACTTGCACTTTGACATGCTTTTGAACTGCTAGGTTAGCAGGAGCAGGGACCAAGCAACGGGAGCTCACCCCGTCGTGGGGATTCGAACCGCCGACCTTCTGATCAGCAAGTCCTAGGCTCTGGTTTAACCCACAGCGCCACTTGCGTCCCAAGTCTTTTACCTGGTAGTAAACTCCACTGAATATAGTAGGATTTTCTCCTGAGTAAACATGTGTAGGCTTGCTCTGTTAAAATGGTAGTCTGTCTTGTGCTACTGTTCAGGGTGAGCAATGGGAGTGTACAGAAATGCCTTCCTTTTCAGAAGGCTCACAATTTAAATTTCCACACCGGTTAGAGTGTAGAAAGGGGAATGATTGAGGAGAGGGGAGCACTGAATTCCTTATTTCTTGCTCCAGGAAAACCTAAGAGCCAGGCTGCAGATATTTAAACGCTGAACCTTTCTTAACACTTCCCCACCAAAGATCCCCTCCTTTCTAACCCCAACCCATCCCCATCTTATTAAACCATTGATAAAAAAAATCTGCAGCCAAATCCCCTCCTGTTGCCTGTTTCTAAGGGCTGCTCCCGGTGACCTTTTTTCTCAGCCTTCATTCTGATTCGCTTGCACAAAGCTTATTCGGAGGTTAGACTACATCCAGTGTTTTCCGAGTGTTCATTCTGATTTGTATGCAGGGGGGTTATATGGCACTGGACATTCATCCTGCATTAATTCTAGTGTGCTTACTAGGTGTTTTTATGTCTTCCCATTAATCTTACGTTCATTCCCTATTTTTCAGTGCATTTCCCCATCACTTTCCTAATCACAAAAAACTATTAATTTTCTGAAAAGGTGACAGAGCACTTTAATCTAAACTAATTACACAAAAGTAAATTTTGCAGCGTGCACATGCATCTCTCCTTCAAAATACTGACAGCCTGAAGCCTAACACAAAGGAATGCTTTGAGCCAGATTTCTTCCTCTGCATTGGCCCAAGCCACTCTCCCTCCCTAAGCAGTAAGCTCCTGTGTCAATATTGCTCATCAAACTGCATGTGACACTAACGAGGGATGGATGGATCAGTCTATTTCAGGTCCATGGCAGCTTTGCATGCATTCACACTTGATGTGTTCTGCGTGAGTCACTTCCAACTCATTTCTGCATTACTCTACAAAATTTCTTTTTAATAATCCATACAAAAATTCCTGTTTAAATACATATGTGTATTTTATCTCAATGCACACATGCCTAAAGATGGCTTGATCATAAAATATGCATTTAAAACACATTTTAGTATGTTTGTTTGTGCTGAGACCTATCACAAATTTCAGAGCGTTGTGAAATCCAAAGGATAATTGTTCTCACATCTGAGGGAAGGTCATTTTCCTTCAGGAGTCACAGAAACTGAATTCCCCAAGCATCTCTGTGTAAAATACATAGTTAAAGGTATGTGTATCTCCCTGCCCCCACCGGAAAACTCAGTGTGCTGCGCATCCTGATTAGGATTGGGACCATAACAGATTTAACTCTTTGCTCTCACACCATGATCTAAGTGAAAACCCTCTTCCTCAAAATTGCTATTTGGCACAGGAGAGAAATTTCCATCGGTGCAAAAGTGAGCATCTTTCCTGTGCTGGATAGCAACTTTGGAAGGTCTGGGACGATTCTCATCCTGGCCTGATACCAGAATCCATGGAGAAGGAGGCAAGACTGGTCAGAAATCTCAGGACCACGGAGAGCTCCAAGTGAACAGCTTGCTCCAAAAATAGTTGAGAGCACATGGAACCTTTTAATGCCTTTGCTTTCAGGCTCCACCCCATTGTGACTAACTAACCTGACATTCCTAAAGGGCCAACACTCTGCCCTGGAGATTTGCACTTCTCCATTCCATAGCCTCACACCTGGTGCGCTCCCTGTGCTGCTGGGCTGCTGAGATCTTAGAGGAGCCATTTGATGCCTAAAGCCCTGGGGTAGGTGCCTGTGAGGTTGTACACTCTGGCCCTACAGATACAGGAGGTTCTTCTGGGGGTGCTTTTGTTCCTCAGCCTGTCATTTCATGTTCTCAATCAGCTGGACAATCAGAGCGCCCTACACTTGATCTAGCTTCTTGGCTACAAAGCCTGCAGTCTCTGATGTGGAGACTTGGCTGCTGCTGGACTCTGGGATCACAACAGGGGAAAAGGGGGAATCAACTGCAACAAAAAAACAACAACATTTGGCCTATGCATCTAAGTCAAGGCAGTCTGCATTCAGCACCATTTAGCAACAGTGGCACAACCTCCACAGGTATAGCTGACCTAAGAGGTGTGGTTTTGATATGGGCAATGGCATACTGTACGGAGTGAGCAAGTGAGCTCATTGCGATGCCTCAATGCTTCAGCATACCTTCGCTCGTACTTTTCCACTCTTGCGCCATTTGTGCCTTTTACCTAATTTGCACATTCCCACCTTTTTAATTATTAAAGTAGTCATGCCGTAGCACTTACATTAAAAAGCCTTTTAGCGTAAATTTCAACATTGATTTTGAAAAACGCTGCCTTTCCACTTGGTGCCATTTTATCACCGTAGGGGTTTTTCCCTCCTTCCTCCGCTTTTCACATGTATTTATTTTCCTTCTACTTTTTAGCCTTATTCGAGAAATTGCATAATAGTCTGAAATTTTAAAAAAAGTGTGGGAGCACACATTTTAAAATGCAAAAAGAGAGAGAGAGATACTCAGGTGAATTGCCCCCTTTCTGCCCATAAGTGTGGATTAAACACAGGGGGAGATATACGCACACAGTAAGCTCTATACTCCTCCTCTTCAGCTTAAACATTTTAAAGTAATTTCCAGGACCGGCTGTGTGCTAAGTATTGCAATCAGTGTGTACTTGAGAAATTTGATACAGTCAGAACCCTGTTTGATTAGATCCCTCTTCCTCCAACGCCCCCGCCAGCCACCTCCTGGAGATGCAACATTAAAAAATAGCATGGTTTTGGAAGTAGCTCTGGGTCTACAATGACCCAGAGAAACTCTGTGACACCCCAACTCTAGACATCCTTTTTATTGTGCATTTGTTATTATCTGTGCTCAAGATGGTATTGGGCTGGTTGTATGCAATCCCATCTTAAGTACTGTTCATGCCTGCAAACGTTTTTGGGGTGGACATACTGCTTTGTTTCAAACTGGTGTATGTCCCACTACTTCCTGTGTGAGAGCCAGTGTGGTGCAGTGGTTAAGAGCAGTGGACTCGTAATCTGGTGAACTGGGTTCGCGTCCCCGCTACTCCACATGCAGCTGCTGGGAGACCTTGGGCTAGTCACACTTCTCTGAAGTCTCTCAGCCTCACTCACCTCACAGAGTGTTTGTTGTGGGGGAGGAAGGGAAAGGAGATTGTTAGCCGCTTTGAGACTCCTTCAGGTAGTGATAAAGAGGGATATCAAATCCAAACTCTTCTTCCTGCTGAAACCCTGTAACTTTTTATACTGGATGTTTGTGGTGCGGGGAAGGGGGAGGTGTCCTGCCTTTGTTCCACTATAGTGCAAAAGTGCTGCTTCGGATTACTGTAGAGTGACAACTCTGGCAAAAATTTTTTTAAAATTGTTGGCTTTAAATGTGTTTTGATGTATTTTGATTACTGTTTTTAGTTTGTTTTTATTCCTTTGTATTTTATAGTGTAGTTTTTTTAAAGTTTGTAAACTGCCTTGAAACCCAACTTAGCGGGGAAAGTGGGATATAAATACTTTAAATAAATAAATACACACTGGGGAAGCATCGCAGAACAACTAACAAAACGGAATGGTGTGTAGACAGTCCATTATAAATCTGCTACCAATGCACTGTTATTGCATCAATGGCACGTCCAGAATATACCTGCAAGAAAAATGGGGCTGGGGCTCTGTCCTGGCCTACAAATGGAACCTAGGCTTAGCTCATAATCAGAATTGTAGAGTTGGAAGGGACTACAAGGATATTCTAGTCCGGGCTTCCTCAACCTTGGCCCTCCAGATGTTTTGAGACTACAGTTCCCAGCATCCCTGACCACTGGTTCTGCTAGCTAGGGATCATGGGAGTTGTAGGCCAAAAACATCTGGAGGGTCGAGGTCGAGGAAGCCTGTTCTAGTCCAACCCCCTGCAATGCAGAAATCTTTTGCCCAATGTCAGGCTGAAACCCACGACTCTGCGAGTGTCATGCTCTTACCGAAGGAGCTATATACTGATGCTCTTCTATGCAACTTAAATATTAAACCAGTCTAGGTTTAGTTAGAAAATACCCTGTTCTTTTAATTTTAATGCAATGCCCCATTACATCCGTCACTTTACTCCTGAATCTTTAATAGTACTTTAATTAAAAATCTGGAGTTGAACCACAATGCTTTACTTTAGGGGACTCTTACCCACACGACGGTCCTGCCTAATGCTACTGAGCTGATGGAAGAAGAACGGACTAAATCCCTATCCGTATGTTCAACAGAATGCACACATGAGGGCTTAAACTGGGGAGGGGGAACAGGCACACACATGCAACCCCCTCCCCAGCATCTCTGTCTGCCTGGGTTACGCCTGTCCCCAAACTCCCCACATTCAACAGGAACGTCTGGCGGGGGGCTTGTAAGCGCATTCCTACATTGTGCAAAATGGACCTCCCGATAAGACGGCATCGGCAGTAAGCCCTCACCTGCAGAGTTGCTCAGAGTTGCTCAGAGTTGCTCACCTGTATAGCTCAGTCAGGTATATAAGGGGTGAGACAATATTTCACAATAGTGAAAATAACATACAAAGATGCATCGTATAGGGTAAGCCCTTGCGTGTTCTTTTGAACACGTTAACAGGGCTGTAAGTCTGTCTCTTCCATAAGGCTAACTCAAAATAATTTGCTGCCTGATGCAAAGGACATGAGGGCAGGTAAAGGTAAAAAGGTAAAGGACCCCTGGATGGTTAAGTCCAGTCCAAGGCGACTATGGGGTTGTGGCGTTCATCTCGCTTTCAGGCCGAGGGAGCTGGCATTTGTCCACAGACAGCTTTTCGGGTCATGTGGCCAGCATGACTAAACCGCTTCTGAGGGCATCCCACATACAAAAACCAATTTGGTCAGGCAGTTGAATAATTTTGATGCTGGTGGTAGGATATAGTCCTCCACAACTCCTGAGGCAACAGGCTGGTTTTTTGTGTGGTGGGAAGAATGCATGTTGTCTAGCATATACAGCTCTGTCCTCCAACAGAGCAAGATGGCCAGGGGCTGTAAAACGAACAACCAGGGGGTTGCTGCTGCCTGAGGCGGTTGCTGCCTGAGGCAGTCACCTCATACTGCCTAATGGTAGGGCTGAGTCTGCCCTTTCCTCTTTGCGGCACCACAAATTTGAATCTTCCATGTACAGTGGTACCTCAGGTTACAAACACCTTGGGTTACAAACATTTCAGGTTACAGACTCCGCTAACCTGGAAGTAGTACCTCGGGTTAAGAACTTTACCTCAGGATGAGAACAGAAATTGTGCACCAGCGGTGTGGCGGCAGCGGGAGGCCCCATTAGCTAAAGTGGTACCTCAGGTTAAGAACGGTTTCAGGTTAAGAACAGACCTCCGGAACGAATTAAGTTTGTAACCAGAGGTACCACTGTATTCAGAAGTGGGCTGCCTACACACCACACATTTAGAACGCATCTAAAGCATGCAGCTTCCCCCAAAGAATTATGGGAAGTGTAGTTCATCCATCATTGGAGCTACAATTCCCAGCATCCTTAACAAACTACGAGTCCCAGAGTTCTTTGGGGGAAGTAATGTGCTTTAATTGTGTATGTGGCCTAAAGTATTAAAAGGTGGGTGGTGGCACCACTACCCATGCGTCAAAAGAAGTCTCTGGGTCGTTCTGCCTCACAAGGGAGGCAGAAGCTAGAGAGCCTGTGCATAACACACTGCAAACAGATTGTGACCTCTTTATGCACAAATCAGGGCTCTCTCGCTCTCTCGTCTGACACAGGGGCTGAAAAGAGGAGGAGCTGGAAGGTGATGTGCAGCAAGCCTTTAGCCAATGAATGGGAAGCCTCGTTCTGTCGATCCAGAGAACCAATTAATCTATCTCTTTATTTTCTCAGATTTACATGAAGCGATGGGACTAGCCTCTAATCTCGCAATGTCTGCTGCACTGAAAGATCCAGAACTGCTGCTTTCCCTCCCGGGGTTCATCCTGGCTTTCAATGCAAATGGCAAACTGGCTCACGTCTCTGAAAATGTGTCCCACTTCCTTGGATTTTCTGTGGTAAGTCCAGGCTATTGCAGGTGGGAGGAAGCCAAGTTTGCCTTGCTTGGTCTAATCCAGGCATAGGCAAACTTGGCCCTCCAGATGTTTTGGGACTACAACGCCCATCATCCCTGACCACTAGTCCTGTTAGCTAAGGATGATGGGAGTTGTAGTCCCAAAACATCTGGAGGGCCGAGTTTGCCTATGCCTGGTCTAATCTAATGCAGTACTGTTGTCGAATTCAGCTAGCTATCTCTCTCCAAGCTCTAATTTGAGTTTTTTCCAAACCTTTTTCACTACAATGCTTTCAACTGGAGGCAAGAAGGATTGGGGCTGAAATTTGTCAACCTGCAAAACATGCTAACATTTGCAGTGGGAAACGTCTGTGGCATGAAATGCTATGGTGTGCAAGTAGGTCAAAAAAGGCAATTTTGCTTACAACTCCTAAAGCTTTTGTTAGAATATTTAAGGTCACACTTCTCCTTCAAAAGTTGATAGTCCTCAAGGTTTCACTTTAAAAATATCATGGCACACAGCTACATGCTAAACAAGTTGCCTGTCGTCATTCATTGGCTGCTATGATTTCTCATACTCTTCTTGCAGGTAGAACTCTTAGCCCACACTGACTCCATCTTTGACCTCTTGAACAGCCCAGCAAGCGGGATTGTCCAGGAGAAGCTTGGTTTTGCCCAGCAGCATCCAGGCACTGGTAAGGACAGATCTTTGCAGCTGGGGGATAATTAATATTTATGTTACACGGCATCATCTCAGCTGGTTAGCATGGTATGCTGAAGAAATAAACATCAGCGTCCGATTTCATATATTCCTTTAATGTGAAAAGCAAAGTTTCCTTTCTTTTTTTTGTTCTTTGTTTCTTGTCTAGAAAAAGAAATATATTCCACCTTTTATAAATTGATTTCAGGGTAGTTTAGAGTCGCACACAAATACAATAAAAACAAACATCCATTAAAGCCACAATAGAACAACAGAATACTGAGATCAATTCAAATCAGCCAGCGCATCTGAAAACCCTGGGTGAACAACACCAAAGCTTAACCTGGAATCTGAAAAATAACAAAGAAGGTTCCAGTGAAGCCTTGTTGAGGAGGAAGTTCTATAAACAGTCAGTCACAGTGGTCTCCACGACCCACCTCACTTCTGGGGCACTCAAAGAAAGGCATCAGCAAATTACTTGCATACTTGGAAAGTTAAAACAAGAAAAGTTATTCCTTTAGGACAGGAGTTGGGGAAACACTGCAGATGTTCCTGGACTCCAGTTCCCATCAGCTCCAGCCAGTATGCCAGAGACTATGGGAGTTGTAGTCCATCAATATCTGCTGTGCCACAGGTTGTCTACTCTTGCTTTAAAGGTAAAGGGACCCCTGACCATTAAGTCCAGTCGTGGATGACTCTGGGGTTGCGGCGCTCATCTCGCTTTACTGGCCGAGGGAGCCAGCGTACAGCTTCTGGGTCATGTGGCCAGCATGACTAAACCGCTTCTGGTGAACCAGAGCAGCACACGGAAACGCTGTTTACCTTCCCGCCGGAGCGGTACCTATTTATCTACTTGCACTTTTACGTGCTTTCAAACTGCTAGGTGGGCAGGAGCAGGGACCAAGCAATGGGAGCTCACCCCGCCGCAAGGATTCGAACCTCCGACCTTCCAATTGGCAAGCCCTAGGCTCAGTGGTTTAGATTACAGCGCCCCCCGTGTTCCTCTTGCTTTAGATGGTCTTAACTCTAACTGCAACCTGGGTGTAAAATGCATCTTCTCAAACAACACGGAATTGGGTGACAAGTCATTTTCTTTCATCTTGTCAGACTAGGGAGAGTGAATGTGGGACCTTCCAGATGTTGATGGACTAGAGTTCCCATCACCCCTAACTAGCAAGACCAATAGCAAGGGATGATGGGAGTTGTAGTCCAGGAGCATCTATAGCCACAGATCACCCATCCCTGTATTAGACCACAGAACTGGATTTAAAATCGGGTTACACAGAGAATGAGTTTTGTGTTGGTGTACTTATTGCAAAAAGGAATCGGAGGAGCGCCTCCAAGTTCCTGCCTAGTATCAGCCCTCACAAACCTCAATCTGCCTCTGAGCTTTAAGCATCCTGATTTATTTATATTTTAATTGCTGCAGAAATTGAGTTCATCACTGAAATGCGCACTCTGAGAGCCTTTCGGGTGAGGTATGGAAGGAACCGTTTGATGTCTGTGCGTGGCAAATTCCTCATGCTCAACCCGCAGTCGACCTCCTCCTCTCCTGCCTTGACCTTTGTTGCCTTCTGTACTCCTGTCACACACCTATCAGAAGATGTAGATGGGGCTTCCAAGGACTCCTCATTCCAGAGCCAGCACACACTGGATATGAAGATCGTGGAGATGACTGACAAGTAAGAAAAATCCACTATTTGAGCAGTTTAGTAGGGCCAGTATGGATATTATTTATGATATAATTTATTCAATTTATATCCTGCCCTTCCTCCCGAAGCCAAAGGAACCCAGGGTGACAAGCACATCAATTTTAAAAACAAACAAAACATTTTTTGAAGCATTATAAGACCAGTTAAAAACATTCTATCAGCCATTGATTTCAGGGTTGCCAGGAGCAGCAGTTTCCAGGCATCAAACACCGGGGTAAAAGAAATGTTTTTCAATTGTTCCTGAAAGTCAGTAGTGATGGAGAGGGATGCATCACACAGCGACAGCATTCTACAAACGGATTGAGTTGCCAAATGACCAGAAAAGAAAACCTGCCCTCTGTTCCTGTGTTTTGATCTGCAATCACTAGCAGGTGAAGATTTTCATGGAAATCGACTGCTGCCAGAGCTTTTGGTGGCCGGGCTTGGGCAGAATCACACTTACCTGTATAAGCACAGGAGCAGAGGCCAGTAAACAAATAAGTTGGCAATCTTATTCTAGGCAGTGGTGTTTGCTTGGCACAAAAGTTCTGTTGTTGCCTATTGTGCTTTCTTTCCCACTTAATGATGGAGATATGTTATGTACTGAGTTGAATAGGATCCAAAATGCAGCAGTCTGATTGGTCCTAGAACAATGCAGCAGTATGATTGGTCCGCAGAAGCCACCCAATCCAGCTCCAGGTGGAAGTGAATCTGCAACCTGATTGGCCTATAGGAATTAGCCAATCACGTGCGGCCCATTGTGTAAATAATGTATATAAAGCAGATATTTGGGGGGAACATTCATTCCTCGCTACTATGAGCTGAATAAAGAGCATGAAATCCACACTCAACTCCGAGTATATTTCATATTGATTAAACTCTTCCCTGTTTTCTCCCCCTCAAGCGTTATTTACCATCTTGGTTATCAAAAGGAAGAGCTGGTTGGACAGTCTTGGTACCGTCTCCTGCATCCTGAAGATACTGGAAGAGCTGTAGAGATTCACAGGACTCTGAGTGAGTGTTGCACCTGAGACAAGAATGACTAGGAAGATGGAAGCAACATCCACACCTCTTTAACAGTCATGGCATCACTCAGAGAATCATGGGAGCATTCCTACACACATCCCTACGGAAGTAAACCCTACTGAAAACATTGGGGTCTACTTCTAAGTAAACATCCATAGGCTTGCACCATTGGAGTGCTCTCACTGCATAGTATTAAACAAGCTGGCCACTATTTTTTTAGACTCAGCTCTCATCTATGATTTGGTGAAACAGCTGGCCTAACTTGCAGGGTGTTGTATAGACATATACAGTCATACCTCGGGTTACAGACACTTCAGGTTGCGTTTTTCGGGTTGCAGACTGCCGAAACCTGGAGGTACCAGAACGGGTTACTTCCAGGTTTTGGTGGTTGCGCATGCGCAGAAGTGCTAAATTGTGCTTTGCGCATGCACAGATGCGCCAAATCTCAACCTGCATGTGCGCAGATGCGCCGCTGCAGGTTGCAAACGTGCGTCCACTGTACTAATGGAATTTGGAGTAGGGTGGTTAGAGAAGAGGTGGGGAAAGAGTACAGGGTGCCTGCATGTTCAATACTTTTGTAGAAGAGGGTTGTTATGCAGCTAGCCACCTTAATTTTAAGAGACTGCAAGGGTCAGGTAGCCTCGATACTGGCAGCAAATCTCATGTGACAATGTACCTGTGATAGGTAGCCATCCAGCCTCTGCCAGATTTGAATGGCTTTAAAAGAGGATTAAATAAAGTCATGGAAAATAAGGCTATCAATTGTTTGCTAATCCTGATGGCTATATGATTCTATCTCCACTGTTGGACACAGAATGCTTCTGAATACTGATTGCTGGGAAATGCAGGGGAGGGTGCTGTTGTCCTACTTGCAGTTTTCCTAGTCATATGGTTGACCACTATGAGAACAGGATGTTGGACTTGATGGGCCATTCCCCCGATCCAGCAGAGCTCTTCTTATAATCTAATTGGGTCCGTGGACCAGAGCCACAGCTGGCTTACTTGTTTCAGCTGGCCTTTGGGACTCAGGATTATGTTGGCATAACTGCTTTGCAAACTTGTCAATATAGAACAGTGGCAATACGTAATTTCAGCTCAGTTGACTGCTGTTCTTCCAGTTACCAGGCGTTCTATGCGCCTATGTTTAAACAAATAACCCTTTCTTATTTTTGCAGTTTCAGTGCATGATTCTGGGAGACACATTCGGCACACGGTAGTCCGTCTACTCTGCAAGGACCTGAGTTGGGCTTGGGTGCGAGTTCTTGCGATAAGGGAGAATGGAAAGGGAGGAGAGCTGATCACTTGCACCAACCACATTCTCAGGTAAAGACTTTCCCTGCATAGGTAATAGTAAAGGTAAAGGGACCCCTGACCATTGGGTCCAGTCATGGCCGACTCTGGGGTTGCGGCGCTCATCTCGCTTTATTGGCCGAGGGAGCAGGCGTACAGCTTCCGGGTCATGTGGCCAGCATGACTAAGCCGCTTCTGGCAAACCAGAACAGGGCACGGAAATGCCGTTTACCTTCCTGCTGGAGCGGTACCTATTTATCTACTTGCACTTGACGTGCTTTCGAACTGCTAGGTTGGCAGGAGCTGGGACAGAGCAATGGGAGCTCACCCCGTGGCTGGGATTCGAACTGCCGACCTTCTGATCGGCAAGCTCTAGGCTCTGTGGTTTAGACCACAGCATCACCTGTGTCCCGGTAATATTCAAGGGCAATTCCCAACTAAGGTGCTTCCTTCATTTTAAATTATGTTGCAGTGGAACTGACTCCCTTGGGAGGTCGCGGACTCTCCTTCCTTGGAGGTTTATAAGCAGAGGTTGGGTAGCCATCTTTCATGGATGCTTTAGCTGAGATTCCTGCATTGCAGGGGGTTGGACTAGATGACCCTTGGGGTCCCTTTCAACTCTACAATTCTATGGTTCTGTGAATTATTATTATTTGCATTCTACATCATTATCTTGATGTGATGTATAATAAACACATTTAAAACTGCAGATATATTTAAAACTAAACTAAAACAAAATAGACCCTGCCAACACCCATTCATCCGCCTGGGAAAACCGCTTGGAACAAAAATGTCTTCCTTCATTTCCAGAAAGCACAGATGGTGGCTGGCTGCCAGATTTCAACAGGAATGCTGTTCCACAGAACTGGGGCAGTCACACTAAAAGCCCTGCTCCAAGTTACTTTGGAGAGGGCTTCTGAGATCTTTGGAACTTGCAGGAAAAGCTCTCCCACAGATTGTAGTGACCTACTGGGTATATAAGAGATTAGGAAGTTTCTCTAGTAACCCGGTCCTGTATAGACCTTATGTGTTAGTACCAACACCTTGAATTTCACTGAGTAGCAGCTTGGAAGCCAGTGCAAATCCCACAAGGAAAGTGATATATATGCTGGCAGTAGTTTGTCTACACAAGCAGCCTCACTGCTGTCCTGTGCACCAGTTGCAGCCTCCAGAGCATCCTCAAGCACAGCTCCACATAAAATGCATTGCATGACCATGAGATGGGGACCCAGTCATTGCCGTCCTCTTCTCCCCACGGCTCTTCTGACTTTTCTCATAATCTAAGTTTGAAAAAAGAACTCAGAACAGTAGCACAGTTTATGTCTTCTTTGCCGTAACACAAGGTTGTACTCAACTGATTCACAACAGGTTAGACCCCTTGTAATTAATGGGTGTGACTAAAGTAAAATCCATGGATTTGAATGGATTCGTTCCGATAGTAGTTGGAGACATGCCCTAGTTTTAAAGAGGTTTTCTTGAAAATAATTGGGCAATAGCGCTTTAGAACATGTTACATCATTCGACTTTTAAAAAGATTGCTGAAATAATGTCTTTGGGGTGTTTTTTTTAAATTGCTGTTAAGGCAACTTGTGCTTTCCCTTCCCTGCGCTTATGGAATGCAATGGACAGAATATAGCTGGATGTACAGTGGTACCTCAGGTTACATACGCTTCAGGTTACAGACTCCGCTAACCCAGAAATGGTACCTTGGGTTAAGAACTTTGCTTCAGGATGAGAACAGAAATCATGCTCCTGCGACGTGGCGGCAGCAGGAGGCCCCATTAGCTAAAGTGGTGCTTCAGGTTAAGAACAGTTTCAGGTTAAGAACGGACCTCCGGAATGAATTAAGTACTTAACCCGAGGTACCACTGTACACAGAAAGGAAAAGCAGTTGCAGCAGCAAGGATAGCAGTTTGAAAAGTCGACTGCATTTCCACTTGTAGCATACAACAAAAGATGAAAAAAGTGCTCCTCCAGACAACCCGCTTATTGAGCATTTATCCTGATTTTCTTGCACAAAGCTTATGCAGAGGTTTGGTTAGATCTAGGCTTTATTGAGCATTCATCCTGGTTTGCTTGCGGGGTGTTTATATATCTTCCTGTGAATCATTCATTCATCTTCCACTTTTCAGTGCATTTCCATGTCACTTTCCTAACTACAAAAAATCCTCTTTTTTTTCCTTTTTCAAAGTGAATTCGCTGTGCTAGGGCAGCAGAGCATTTTAATTGTACAAACCTAAATTTTCTGTATGCACTTAAATCACCGCCCCCCCCCAAAGGTCTGGAGGCAGCCTTTAATGAAAAGCGCTAGGACAGGGGTCTGCAACCTTTAAGACAAAAAGAGCCACTTGGACCCGTTTCCGAAGGGAAAAAAACTGGGAGCCGCAAAACTTGTCATTATAAAAATAACTTTTTTGTCACTTTTTTATTATTTCTTTGTTTGACCCCTCAGAATTACTCCTCCTTATAGAAATAAACGTTAAATTAACAAGTTACCTTTTTGTGTGTGTGTGTTCTTCACTCCCCTTCAAAACAGTGACCAGCGTACATGCCCCCTTTCAATGCAGTGACCAGCGTACATGCCCCTTACAATGTAGCGGGTGGCCGGGCGGGAAGGTGACGTCGGGACGGTGCGTGACTAACGCACGCACCGCCCCCATGCGACGTCACAGCCAGTACAGCGCCCGCCACAGTGGGGAGTGTCAGGGCGCACAATGCGCCTCCTCCCCTCGCTAGTATCCACCCCGGAGCCACGGCAAAGGTGTAAAAGAGCCACATGCGGCTCCGGAGCCGCGGGTTGCAGACCCCTGCGCTAGGAAAAAGGAACATTCTGGTTCTTGTTTAACTCTTCATCTCCCCCTTTCCCAATTTCCTATGTCTGCAAATCTGAATTGGCTCCAACGTACATTGGTGTTGCAAACGACGCCTTCTGCTTTCTGTACTACGTTAGTAATACAGTGGTACCTCGGGTTACAGACGCTTCAGGTTACAGACTCTGATAACCCAGAAATAGTACCTCAGGTTAAGAACTTTGCTTCAGGATTGTTAGAATTCCTGATCCATGCTTGCAGTCATGGTGTTGTTGTCTTTCACATGACGGTATATGTTTTGACTCCATAGAGTGGGAAGTGACGGAGACAGGATGTTTGTGTTACTGTGTTCCATGACGTGGGACTATTGTCCTTTGTTCCCCCCCCCACTTTTGCTGTCTGATGCTAGAGAAAGAGGGAGCCATGTTGCAGTGCTCCGTGTGTGTTTATATGTAAATAAAGTAGATTAGCCAAAATGCTGAGTTGCTGAGGCTTGTCACGCATGATACACAAACTCTGCGGATCCATAAGTGTGCCGGTGTCGGTAGGCATCGGTCGCTGTGATGTTTGGGCAGAAGAAAGCTTATGAAGCTCCCGAATGATTGACCATGAGGGAGGGAACATGCCAGTCGGGCATGTGTCTCTGCCAAGCTCCTACTCGAGTGTAGGCTGAACTCCTGACAAGGATGAGAACAGAAATCACGCGGCAGCAGCGGGAGGCCGCATTAGCTAAAGTGGTACCTCAGGTTAAGAACAGTTTCAGGTTAAGAACAGACCTCCAGAATGAATTAAGTTCTTAACCCGAGGTACCACTGTATTTGCAAATTCTAGAAAATGCCCTCTATGCAAATGCCCTCATGTTGTCATTCGCTTGTGCTCTCACAATACTTTGATTATGCTACACAGTGGCATGGAAGGACCAAATCTGGTTTGAGTGCCTGTGTCAGTAACCTTCCTGTTGGTATGATGGCATCCAGCGCTTGTTTCAATGCACACTTTTTGTATCCTTGCATAGGGAGGAAGAAGCCCTCTATCTCCGGAACCAAGACCCACAGCGTGGAGCTGTTTCCCCAGCTATCTCAAATCTTCAATGCAATTCTGGAGAAATACAGCCGCAGACGACAGTGCTGAACGAAGCCAGTTTCTTCCCTCAAGAACCAGTGGCAGCCATGGATGAGGCACATGAGTACAACCCCTCTCAGCTGCTTGAGGCATGCGAAGAAAAGATGCTTCCTTCTGCCCTCCAGTTTCTGTTTCCAACCAACATCCCTCTCCCTAACATGCGGGCTGAGGCAGGCACCCTGCAGCCGCCTCAAGAAACGGGACTTCCATTCTTTCCGGCAGGTGGGCCCAAAAGTCTCTCCAGCCTAGACAGTGCCAACAGGCTGCCCTCCATGAACCCTTATGTCCTCTGCTCCCCTGGGAATGCACTTCCCCCTGACAGCAGCCCTCCTGTAGACATTTCTCCGTTATTTGAAGGAGGGCCATCCATAGGCATGTTCCCAACAACAGGTACAAGCCCTGACCCTGACAGATGGGCCATCAGCATGCTGGCGGGACAAATCCACTCCCTGGCTGAAATCTTCTCTCAATACGCAAAGCAAGCACCTCAGAAGTCTCCCAGCATTTCCTTGTGGACCAGACAGTCTGCTGAGGACACTCACATGATACCAAGGCAGGGTTTGGGGACTAATGGAGCTCTAGATTTCCCTGAGGATCTCTCTGTGGATGAAGATGTCATCGCCAGCATCTTAAACAGCTTCCTAGACCCTAACCACTTAAACCCGCTCACTTCTGAGCTTGGATCAGAAAGCAGTTTTCACGCATTAAACGCTGAGCCACGGGCTTCCTTAACCCAGACTCCTCAAACAGACGTAACTCCTTGCCTTGACCAGTGCCTCTTCTTGCATTCTTTGTCTTCCTCTGCATCACCCGGTACCCATGTGCCTGACTCCCAGTGGGATGGGAGATTCCATACTGTATTTCAGCAAGGTACTGCTTGCCCTTCTTCAACATAATGTTACAGTTTATAAAGAACCAATAAAGCAGGGGTGCAGAACCCATGCCCCTCCAGACGTTCCTGGACTACAGCTCATGGGAGCTAGAGTCCAGGGACATCTTGAGAAAGACCAATTATTGGGTTAAATAGTGCACCCCAAGAATTTGTCTTTATCAGTTTGAAGGACCGTATGTTCTGCATCTCTGAAATAAAGTAACTGCGGCCAGTACAATCCTGAATTCACCTCAACTCAGGTTTGATGCAGGGCGGAATAATAAACTACATGGCTGCTGCTTTAAAAGTTTTTGTCATGGTGGTATTCAACATGTGAAATTTTCAGTGTCCAGTCATATGGCAAGACCAAAATTACAATGCCCCAAACCACTGAGAAGCACTGCCTGCCTGAAGTTTACAACCATCTCTCCGTAAACTTTATAGCAGCTACTGCATGCTTGGCCCGTATGAATCCATACTGAGATGAAGGGTTTATGGAGAGCTTTCCTGGTGGGAATAAAAATGGGCAGTACTGTCTTCATGCCAGAAGTAGGACCTCCATAATGCCTGGAGTGGCCTTAAAACAGGGTATATATGTAAAGATATTTATACAACCCTGGGATGATGACCTGCAACCCATGACTGACTGGCTTTAAAAGAGGATTTGCCACTTTCAAGGAGGATAAGGCTACTAGCCACTGTTAAGTTGTGGGTGAAAATATCAGACGACACAGCAATTCTTCAAACAGCTCTTCTTTATTCAGAGGCCAGAACAGAACTGAGCAGAAGGGCTCAGTCAGCCTGCTTATATAGAGCTCCAGTACAACGTTACTGTAGCAACTTTCTAAAACTATCCAATCACTGAACGTCACTTTCGATCCTTCATTTGCATAACTATCTACAGTATTCATCTGATCACTGAACGTCACTTTCGATCCTTCATTTGCATAACTATCTACAGTATTCATCCAATCACTGAACGTCACTTTCGATCCTTCATTTGCATAACTATCTACAGTATCCCCCTGCTGGCCCAGGGTGAGAACTTCAGTACATAACAGCCACAATGGCTATGTTCTACCTCGAGTGAACAGCATGCCTTTGAATAAGTAATAAATTGAAATAAATAGATAACACCTGCAAAAGGCAGGTAACAAGAGTATTGTTACAGCCAGGCCTTGCTTTCACAAACCCATGTTGCCATACAGAATAATCTGCTCAAATACAGCTGCAACACATGGCTAATAAATGTAGTAAATGTATTATTATTAGTGGTTAGAATGTCATCCAAAATTTACAAATAATCAGCTTGAAAATAATATATATATCAAACCATAACCAAGTAGTAGTCAGTGTGATGAATTGCTGGGAGGGAACACCACAACGCAAGCCACTCCGAAAACAGGATTCTGGGCTAGATGCCAGGCCTTTGGTCAGATCCAGCAACCAGGCTCTTCTATTCTTACCTATTTACAAGCCACAGCCCTTGACTCCCCTGCCCCCAATTTATAGCCAAATCAGGCCTGCTACAGCTTCCTAAACACAGTAGCTGAAGCAGGGTTGGCTCCATCGCTCCTAGCTAGCACAGCCAACAAGTGGGAATTGCAGCAGGCCAGAGTTCCCATATATGAAAATAAAGGGCAAACGAGCTTCCACCCCATCTAATTTGAACAATGTCCCTCCTTCTTGTTGTTGCCATCTCTCTCGGGACACAGTGGAGGGGCACATGCACCTTTGGGGGTGAAGTCAACATGTTGGAAAGCTGTAATGAGTATGATGTGAAAAAGCATCAGCCTTGCTGTTGTTGGCACCCGTCTGTCTCAGGGGACTATGAAGGAGTGTGTGTTTGGGGGTCACACCGTTGGAGAGTTACAGTGCCTGCTGTGGCTGTAGAGACCGAAACGGGAGAGACATGTTTTGTTGCAGCTGGGGCAGATGAAGGTGTCCGCTTGTGCTGCTGTGGGTGCACCAGCGTTTCTTCTCTCTTAACTCCTGCATCCTTCCTTTCCACAGGTGTCTTTCCAGAAGAGGCCATGTTCTGCTGAACGTGCCCTGGTTGCCCCCATGACTGACTTTAGAAATGAGAGCCCGTGTTGGCAGATAACCTGGCGGTGGAGACCTATCCTCCAACATTTCTGCAGTGAAATGGAGATGGCCAACCATATCCTCCCAATATTTCTGCAATATTTCCTAAGGAGAAGCTGGACATTCTGGGATCAAATCAGAAACCTAGGACAGCTCCTGAAAATCCTGGAAAACAGGAAAAATTGGAGGGTCTGTGGAGAATGGGATTGGCCTGAGACATGAGACCACATAAGAAAGTGACCAGGCCACCCCCCCCCCCCCCACTCAACCACCTTCTGATGTGGACAAGCTATGGCGACGCAAGGAATGCGACCGCCCTCTAGGGGGCGCTGCAGCGCGCTGATCAACAATAAAACAAAAAAAACTCCCCTGGGCCTTTTGTTCTCTCGTTGGTTTATTCGTGACGCCACAGGGGAGGCGGGCCCTGGCCAGAGCCTTCCCGCGCGCATGCGCATCCCGCCCTTTGTGACGCTGTCCTCCCCCGTTGCCAGGATACGGGAAAGCGCTGTGGGGCCGCGGCCTGCAAGCGGGGCTCTAGTGGCGCTGGGAGCAGCCGAGCGAGGCCTGGCGGGGGCGGGGGGCGTGGAGCAGAGGCGGCGCGTCAGCGGCAGGTGGAGCTCCGGCCCGGCGGCGGCTGCTCGCGCGACCTTCCTCTTCCGGGTTTGCGGCCCGTCCTCCCCTTCCAGCCTCCTCGAGTCCTGACCCCGCAACGCCGCACCCCCGAGGCAGTGTGCGAGGCGGGAAGGACCGGTGACCAGAGAGCGGGGTTTGTTTGGGGTCTTGTAAGCTCAAGGAGGAGGGGGGAAGCAGTGGAGGAAAGCCCCTTGCCTGCCACGTGCCCAACAGGACTGCAGGTCGGTTCATTCAGATATATCTATATATTTCCCCCCCGTTTCATAGAATCGTAGAGTTGGGAAGGGGCCGCACGAGGGTCATCTAGTCCAGCCCCTTGCCATTGCAGGAATTTATTTATTTATTTTGCCCCACGTGGGGCTCGAACCCACAGCCCCGGGATTAAGAGTCTGTTCTACCGATTTAGAGATTGTTATAGGTTGCCTTTTTCAGAGCTGAAAACCCTCGCGATGAAATACAGTGCCCCAGTTGCAAGCAGTTTATTGCGAATTTTAAACACCCCCCCAGCTGTAATAAAACATAAACACCCGGCCCGAAAACAACGAGCAACAGAGTGTAACGATAAACAGCAACCCACCAACGGTGAGAGAACACGGTAGCAGAATGGAAACGCCGTGGTAGGAAAGGCCGACGGGGCAGGTGGGTTTCCCAAGTTTTCCCAAGGGGCCTGTTGGTCCCAAGTTAACCAGGTCACCAGTTGGCAATGGGTTCTGGAGCTGTGGGGCGGCCCCAGAAAATGCCTTTGCACCGGGTGACTTAACTGCTTTTTTGTGGCAGGCAGGTGAGAAGGGCTATCAAAGCTAAATGGAACCTCCAGGGGCAGAGGCAGTCTATCTCTGGAATAGTAGGTGTTGGGGCCGGGGAGTGGACAACGGGAGGCTTACTCCTTCTGGCCTCCCTGAGGGCAGTTGATGTAATTAGATTGCAAGTGGGAGGGCTTTATCCTTGGGATCCACTTTTTTTCCCAGAACCCTGAGGTCTGTCTGCTGGAGCCATGTGCAGAACAGTTGCCTAGAAAGTGTGGTGTTCGTACACTTAGAAGTAATGATCAGGACAACTCTGGGTGCTTCTCAATCCTGGAATTTGTTTTTAGTGCCAGAAATAAGCTGATATTCCTTCCAGGCAAAATCCAGCCTTCATTCTCTTCCCCCAGCCTCCTATCAGCACTTAATTTGTTTCACTGGGGTGGTGTGGGGGAAAGGAAGGTATTGTTAGGATCTGCATCAAGTACAAGTAGATCCTTTGTGATCTACTTCAAGTCACCCAGAGATCCACTAGTAGTTATTTATTCATCATTTGTTTGTTTGATTGATTGATTGATTGATTGATTGATTTATATACTGCCCTTCATCAAAAGATCTCAGGATGGTTCACAATATAAAAGCACAAGATAAAAGCACAAATAATAGTAAAAAAAGGAGCAATAAAACAATAACCACCCCACACACCCTTGCATTAGACCGTCCAATCCAGCTGTGGTTTTCTTACCATGCGCTTCACAGAATAGATTCCCTTACATGGATCTATAACTTACTGCAGAAGGAACATTAATGGCATATATCTCACTTCACCCTTAAACTGTTTTTCAAGCTACATTAAACCACTAAGTGAGAGGTCATCTAGAGTTCTGAGGTTTGCTGTCATTGATGTGCTCATGGCACCCAGCTCTGTCTCCCCATTAGATTTATTTCAGTTATTGGTCCCCTTAAGTCATTTGCACCACATGAGGAAGGGGGCTGCATTTTCACACCACCCTAAATGTCACCTCTAGCCCTGACCTCTGCATTTTGATTGAGCGGAAGATCTGAAATGGTACGCTTGGTAAAAATCCAAAGACAACACCATGTACATTAGATTTGGCACTTTCTTACAGGTACTAGCCCTCTTCCTTTATTAGCCTCATAACAGGTTAGCAATACAGTTTAACTGTTAATTGCTATTGGCTGTAAAGCTTACCTTTTGATTTCTGTCTGGTAGTAAAGTTACAAAATCCATTTTCTGAAAGTGGCGACCCTAGGGCATCTCTCTATCTTGGACCCTCAAAACATTGTATATTTAATCCAATGTCTTTGTGACTTGAAGAAGGGACATCCTTTATTGCCCTCCTCGGAGTTCTACTCCAACCCACACTTTCATAAGCAATTTAAAAGGGTCTCTTGCTTCTGTGTGCCACATTTCTGTCTCATAAAACACCCCACATCCTAGCTGCGTGGAATGCGATGAGTGAGCAACAAAGAGTATGGGAGTTGCCTTTTTGGATCAGAGCAAAACCCATTGGGTCCAGGGTCTGGTGCAGGATGGAGATGACACCCTTGCTCCATTGCTTTGCTTCCCGCTTCTGATAAACATTAGTACTAAATGCCATTTCCAAATATGGAATACATAGTCATGTAACTGTCTACTGTGAATTTGTCTACTAGAATTTAATTGCTCTGGGACCATCCCGTGATACCCTTTTAAGGACTTTTGAATATGGGCAGGGTGGGAAACAGGTGCAGAACAAATGCTCTTCCTCAGCTTCCCTAAGATCTCTACCAAACACAAGACCTCTGGAAAATAGTTATGAGTCAAGTTTTGGAGGTATGGTGTAAAGACACATGAGGCCATCACCTTGCTAAAGCTAAGTTCTGTGCCTGGTCAGTGCCTAGAGGGGAGACCATATTGAAATCATGTAGGTTCCAGGACAGAGGAATGGCAGGAAAAGCAGAGGAAAAAAATACTGCTTAACTAAATATGTAAATAGATCATGGGATTAGGCTGGATTTGTTTCCTCCCCCAGCACCAGCCATTTGGGAAGCAAGCACATAGACCAGGAATAGGCAACCTAAGGCCCGGGGTCCGGATCCGGATCCGGCCCAGTCGCCTTCTAAATCCGGCTCGTGGATGGTCCAGGAATCAGTATGTTTTTACATGAGTAGGATGTGTCCTTTTTAAAAAATGCATCTCTGGGTTATTTGTGAGGCATAGGAATTCGTTCATCCCCCCCCCCCCCCAATATATAGTCCGGCCCACCACGTGATCTGAAGGATGGTGGACTGGCCCATGGCTGAAAAAGGTTGCTGACCTTTGACATAGACTAAGTCTCCCTCCCCACTTGGATCTGGTAGAGCTGAGATAAAAGATATAAAACAGGGATGGGAAACCTATGGCACTCCAGATGATGTTGGATTGCAACCAGAATGACCAGTGAGCAGGGATGATGGGAGCTGTAGTCCAAGAACATCTGGAGGGTCAAAGGTTCTCCATCTCTGCTGCAAAGGAACCAACTGAGTAACTCTGCTAGTTGCTGCAAAAGGTTATGGGGTCCAGGTTTCAAAAAATTGTGCCAAAAATGTTAATCTTTAAGGTGCCAGATGTTCTTCTGTTGCTTTTTGCTATTTGCTGTCAATGAAATGCCAAAGAACGACTAGAGCACTCTTTTTCCATGGCCTTATATTGTACTGAAATTCTAAACCCAATCACCCATTGAAGTTAGTCAGAATTATGTCCAAATAAACATGTATAGGACTGCATTGTAAGTCCTGGGTCAGACCCAGCCCAGCAGAATGTTTTAGGATTAAACCTAGTATGTTGCATTATTGAAGGCTTTTCCTGTGCAGAATTTTGAGAACATCAGGAGCGCTGGACAAAACGGAGTAGGAATTTTCCTCAAAGCCTCTAATGGTAGTTTCTATTCCATTGCATTTCTTGCCAAGGAATATAATCATTTTAGTGGGTCATCTCTTTAGAGCAGATATAGGCACCCAACTTTGTAAAGCACCAGACAGAAGGCAGCATCCATTGAGGCCTAATGAGTAGCTAGATGCTTTTACTGCCAGTTCATTAGAACATCACAATATAAATGGGAATACACACCTCTGTATTTCTTTTCTGTAAGAATCTAAGCACTACAATTCTGTTGTGGGGTTGTAGCAAAATATATATATCAACCTCATGAGCCTGCCCCATATACACCCAGTGTCATAGTCTGTCCCCCATCTCAGAGAATAAGACAAGCCTCCAGCTTTGTAAATTAGCTTTTGGTGCAGCTGTTTCTTGCCCTGAACTGTGCATGAATTGGCCTGCTTGCCAACAAATGGTTAGTTACAGTTTCTGTGGCAACTTAAACTGTGATAAGGTGGAGAGCTAACAGTAGTTTCTCTTTCAGCTTGAGTCTAGTGACTTGGAAGCATCCCAAAACCAAAAGCCTTATGAAGCAGCTGCGTGGGAATAAAGGTGGGGGCAATGCCAGAAAGAAGAGTTCCCCCTCTGGTAAGGACAGCAGGAATCCAGCATTACAGACGTCCGAGGACAGCAGGCCGATCAGCATCCTAAATCCAAAACTGTTGGCTCAGAAGCGACCTCTGCAAGGTTTGAGCAGTATGGGAGGCAGCACCGCGGGGAGTCCCGAAGATGCCAAAAGACCAAAGCTCTTGCCTGAAGCGAATTCTCCTGGCCAGGAGGAATCTGAAGACGAGGAGTCGGATGACAGTGAATATGAGAGAGCAGAGAGTGAGAGTGATGACAGCGATTATACAGACAGTGAAGACGACGATGACGACGAAACTGGCAGCGATGCCTCAGAAAGCAGTAACAAAGGCCCTGAAGAAACAACAAGCCAGCCTTCTTCAAAGACTGATTTAACAAAAGGTAAACGTTGATGCTTGGAAAAATTCAATAAATAGTGCATCTTTGTGTCACCTATCAGCCGTTTTGAGCTTTTCTTTCTCTGGTGGCTTCGCTTCTAATTAACCGCCTTAGATGTGGGCGTGTAACCATTAATATGCATTATAGCCACCATTCAGATGCGCTCCTTGACACTGCTCTCTTTATCACCTAACCGTCCTACATAATTGCCTTATCGTCAGGTGTGTCTCATGCTTCGTGCTGCCTCTGAAAGCAGGAAAATAACGGAGAGTGTGCCTTTCTGTGTCATACTCTGCATGAATGTATATTCTGTTGCTCAGATACCAAAGAAGTTGGGGCTGTCGGTTGAATAATCTCTTGCATCCTATATAGTGGAAACATGTTATTGCAATCCAAAACGTTGTGTTGAAATATGGAATTGCCTGTCATTTTTAAGGGCTGCAGAAATGCCACATGGTAGTCAAACCACTAAAAACAATGATGGCTATTCCTCACAACAGCTGATCAGGCAAAGTAGGGCTGGGTGATATATTGTCCAAAACCGGTTTGAAGTTCACATCATGATATCTGTTTCATAATATTTGACCTGGCAGTATATCGTGAATCACAATATGTGTGAGGGCTCGTCAATATCTGGTTTTCAACATCACGATATATCGCCAGCTAAACATCACCGATAAGGACGGAACTACGCAGAGACAAACAGGCTACTTACTTGGCAACTGCTACTACTTAGGGCTCTAAAACAGATAGATGTCATTATTATCAATCACTGCACAGTCAGTTTCATCAGCAGGCAAGCCAAAATGCATCCAAACTTGGGGTTATGGGCTTGGCTTCCAAATTGTGGTATTCAGGACAATCCAAAGTACAGTGATGAGTCATGGTGAATACAAATAATCTGGGACTACCAGCAGGCTTGCTAGGTGACTGAAGCGGTGGTGGCAGAAACAGCAGGGACCTCATAGGCAGTAGTGGCAACAGCCTTTAAGGCCCAACGGTGACAGCAGAATCACTGGCGGCCTGCGAGGCCTGGCGGCGGCAGGAGTTACTATCAGATATCGTGATATATCGATAAGTTGAGATGTTTAGCTGATGGTATATTGCGATATTGAAAACCAGATATCGCCCAGCCCTAAAACAAAGCTGTGTTATCCCCCTGTTGAAGTCTGAGGATGGGGGAACGCAGGCTGGAGAAACAGCGGCTTGTCTACGTTCACCAAGGTAAGAATTGCTCGCTGGAAACGACACACTTGTCTGCTGCCCTATAGCAGCTCACTGTTTGCACCCCGTCAACGGTGCCATTGCCTCGGTTGTCTAATGAGAACACTTTGTAAAGCAGGTTAGTCTTCTGGTTGGATGTTTTGCATTTTCTCATGGAGGAAGGGGAGTAGTCTCCAAAAAAGGTACTTTGTTGGCCTCAGGTTTGGGTGATCTGTTTTCCTTTACGCTGTCCTGACAGCAGATTAAAGAAGCTCAAAGAACGTTGTGGATCTTTTGAAAGTTCAAAATATTACGTTATGACAGTGCTAATTTGTTCCTTGTTTGATCTCTGCAATGGTTCTAAAATTGTTTGCCACTAGTTTCAAACCTGAAATATGTAATGTGCATTAGTGCCCTCCCCAAGAGTTGGTGCAAGTGTAGCAAATTCAAAAAAAGAGGGAGCTCGAGGAGTAAAAGAGGATTAGGAAACAAACGGTACTGAAAATGAGCATTTTTTGTGAGTCATGTTGACTGCTGCAGTAAGCAACTGATCTTTGTAATAAATCAGTTTAGTTACTACTTGAAAGCCAAGTTTGCCTCGTGGTAATTCTGTAGATTTCCGCTCTTTGTCATATCTGTTGAGAATTGACTGTACTCTAGAGTTCTAAATGTATGCTCAAGCCTTCAGCCAAAATTACGGTTTGGTCTACTCCACAGAAAGAGCTTATAAGGGCATTGTGGAACTGTCAGCAAGAAGCAGCCGGAAGCACTAATAAAGAACAAATGAGCCACTCAAAACATGTTTTTCTGTTTTGAAAATATGCTTCCTAAATGCAATAAGCAATGTGATATGATATTTATAAAATCATTGAGTGAGATTTCCTAAGGCAGCCTTTTAAGTTAGCTTTGGAATTCTTGTTTCAATGCAGAAAAACAAGATTTGCTCTTAAGAATTGAGACTGATTATATCTTCCAAAGCCACAGAAAGTTGTGAAATGCAAGCTATCAGAATCTTGTCTTCCTTCCTTCCTAAATCATGGAACCGACTGAGAATTGTGCACCTTAAACATATTTAAATTATATCTGGTAGTGGTAGGTGTTGTCTTACCTTCTCTTCTAAAGTCAGACAACCATTGTTATATTAATCTTCTGAAGGCTAGAAATTTATTCAAATTAAAACAGATGGTTTTTATACTGATGTGCTTCCAAGAACCATATCTTTGACAGTGCAGTCCAGTACACGTCTACTCAGAAGTAAATGAGTACAGAGTTGCTGCCTGGGAGAAAATGCAGTTATCTCAAGAATCTTAATTTGAAAAATGTTGAGAATTGGCAACACTGAGAGTGATGCTTTTACATGAATTAAAAAATGGCTGATGTACCACAAACAAAGCACAATTATAAATAGCAGCGTGGTTAATTGGGAAAGTGTCTAATGAGTTCACCAGGGACGCGGATTAGGTCTCATTTAGCATAATAAATGAATCTGGAAGAGGGAGCAAAGAGCACTAATGAAATTCAAATATGAAAACAGAAGGTGGTGAGAACACAATCAATTGGCATACAAATAATAGGTATCTAGGTGGTGGCACAAAACACAGCCACATACAGCTATTCTTTTGCAGGGAATAAATCATTGGGAACAAATTAATTTTAAATGCATATAATTTAATATCAAATGCAGGTCAGGAAAAACGTGGGAAGATGGATGAAGAAAGGTTTATGTGCAAAGCCAGTGCTGCTTCTCTAATCTTTTATGAACAGGCAGCCAGAAACAGATGTAGTTTGTTGGCCATATAGCAGAGACAGAGGCTACTTCTTGGGCATTCTGGTGTGGTTAGTTTATTTAATTTACCATCAGTGGTTGTGTGGTAGCTTGCGCACGCACACAAGTCCTCTTAAAATCAATTCTATGTTGAGGGGCAGCCAGTGTTAGAAATTAGCCAGGCGCCAGGCGCATTTTGCTACTGGCATGGGTCCAGTTGTGACTATGAGGAGATTTCTGGGTGCCAGGTTGGCAACCACAGTTTAAAAACAGCCTTAGTCCAGAACTAATGCCATTTTCCTTGTGTGTGTTTCTCCTTGCCTACTGGGACAAGTGAATTGTTGTAACAGCAACCTGCACGCAAACAATCCAGTTGAGATTATAGAATTATAGAATTGAAGAATTGCAGCGTTGGAATGTACCCCGAGGGTCATCTAGTCGAATCCCTTGGCGAACAGACATTCTCTTGTGGCAACCGCACCCCAGGTTTAAGGGGGCATTTGGGGCCTAGCCTTTGTATTTGAGTTTCTAAAACTGGGGGCATCATATGTGTGTGTTGGGGGAAGATAATGGGTCAAGGGGAACATGGAAGAATGCGCATTTACGGTAGGTTGATTGTTTTGGCTTTGTTTCAGGAGGGACTCTTTATTTATTTATTTAAAGGGGGTTTTCCTGAGGAAAGACACCCCGAGGCGTTCAGGCCATACAGAAAGGAGAAATGGTGCGGTTGTGTATGTCAGGGGTGGGAGGAGAACTTTGGACCGTTGACGGCGATGGAGCTGAAGAAGTGAAGCAATGAAATTTCACGTAGTTCCAGAAGTCTTGATCAAGAGTAACGTTGGCTATCGCCCTGTGTCGGCAGAGATGGGAGAATCTGGCTGTGGTCCTCTTTGTGAGAGCAGTCTCCTTGGCATTTTGACTGGTTTGGTGGCCCATAAAAAGCATGGACTGGCAGCCAAGGTGTCCAGCCCGCTGTTTCCTTGTCTTTCTTGTAGCATCCTAGTCGCACACAGTTGGCTTGTATGACAACGGGTTGCTATTTGGATGAAGGATAGTTGTAGAAGGAGAGAACTAAGAGTCATAAATATGTTGAAAGCATTGCAAAGAGACAGAAAAGACAGCGGAATTATGACATATGCAGTAGTGTTTTGAATTTGGGTTGCCTGCATTTTTAACACACACACACACACACACACACACACACATGCACACACACATTCCCAGAATTCAAAGCCCAAGGAAAGGCCTCCGTTATCATGAGGGCTATAAAGAGAATCTGGAGGTTTTTATCACAATTTTATTTTATGGTGGTTATGTAGTGCTTTAATACTGCCTGGTACTTCCGAGAGATTTCAGTCTATATTAGGCAAATGCCGGTGATGAGAGGAAGAGAGGGAAAGGCGTGGGATGAGACTTAATAATACAAATAAAAATGAATTATCGGGAGTGAGTTCAGCTCAGTGATTTGCAAAAAGAGACTTCAGTGAGGAGGAATAGATGGAGCTGCCAACTGAGACAAGCTTCAGAAAGCTACTCAACCATGGTTTGAGCTGAATCTGAATGGGACGTGGTTCCCCGCCCTTATCCCAGCTTCTATGGGGAAACTTCTGCAAATGTGAATGAAATGGAATTGACACAGTGCATTCTTCCGAACTCGGCAGACAGTATCTAGTGTTTTCTGCTCAGAACTTTGCAGGCAATAAGTGGGGTGGATTGTTTAAATTAACACTTTAAAAAAATATGCTAATGAGCTAAAAGCCCTGGTTTGAATAATCAAATTTTAATTGGCTTTTCTGGAGAAAAGTAGATTTCCATTGGCGAATGTTGCCATTAGACAAATTGACTTCCTCCAAATTACGCAACGGTTGGTACATCTTTTTTGCTATTTAGCAAAGTGCCTTGCGTGTTTATCCATGTAGTTAACGCAGTTAAATACCTTAATGTCCTTGGGTTTTATTAGCTATGCAGTCATACAGTGGGAGCGTGTAAGCAGGCCTATTGACTTGAATAGGACTTAGTCACTAATAATAACATATCCTTGGGATTCCAGCCTTAATATGTTAAGCAATACAGTGGTACCTCGGGTTACAGACACTTCAGGTTACAGACTCCGCTAACCCAGAAATAGTACCTCGGGTTAAGAACTTTGCTTCAGGATGAGAACAGAAATCGTGTGGCGGCAGCAGCAGGAAGTCCCATTAGCTAAAGTGGTATCTCAGGTTAAGAATGGACCTCCGGAACGAATTAAGTTCTTAACCCGAGGTACCACTGTATTACGTTGCTAGACAGTATGGCACTTCAGATTTCAGTACAAGTATTTCAGGCAGACCCAGCTGGTGAGCCTGACTTTCACTCTGGCTGAACATGTATGACATCCAATCTGTGCTGTGCTGGGCTTTCCCATTACCCTTGGGTAGAACCTGGTTTTGATATTTGTGGTTTTGGCCTTTCTTGCATCAAAGAGCAGGCTGACCTTCTACCCCCAAACTATGGAATTTACAGTATGCTGTGATGGCCTCCAGCTTGGATCACTTTAAAATGGAATTAGATGAACTTCATGAAGGATACTGTTGCCCGTGGTTACCAGAGTTGTATTAAATTTCTGTTTTGAAATGATGAGCTTTTGTTTCTACAGTAGTTTTAATTTTATTGTGCTTTTATTTATTGTAAGCGGTCATTGGACATTGTGGTAAAGGGCAGGTAAGAAACATAATAAATAATAGTCATGATGGCTATATAACTTGCAGTGTTATACATTTTTAATTTTTGATTAAAAATGAAGAAACTTTTACCTAAATTTTGGTAAAAATTAGGTCAACTTATTTTTAACACATGATTTTATTGGTGTTTTTAATTTATATTTTATGTAAACTGCTTGGACGTTTTGATGTTTAAGTGGTATATCAAGCCTTTAAATAAAGGACATGAGTCAACAGTGTGTGATACAGCAGCAGCAAAAAAGTGAATGCTATTCTAGGCTGCATTAACAGAAGTATAGTGTCCAGATCAAGCGACGTAATAGTACTGCTCTATTCTGCCTTGGTCAGATCCCACCTGGAGTACTGTGCTCAGTTCTGGGCGCCACAGTTTAAGAAGGCTATTGACAAACTGGAATGTGAGCAGATCAGAGTGACTGAGATGCTAAAAGGGCCTGGAAACCAACCCTTATGAGGAACGGTGGAGAGAGTTGGGTACGTTTAGCCTGGAGGAAAGGAGACTGAAAGTTGCTTTGATAGCCATCTTCAACGATCTAAAGGGCTATCACATGGAAGATGGAACAAGCTCATTTTCTGCTGCTCCAGAGGGTAGGACCTGAACCAATGGACTCAAATGACAAGAAATGAGATTCTGACTAAACAATAGGAAGAACATTCTGACAGTAGTAAGAGCTGTTTGACAGTGGAACAGATTTCCTCAAGAAAGGGTGGACTCTCCTTCATGGAGGTTTTTGAGCAGAGGTTAAATGGCCATCGGTCATGGATGCTTTAGTTGATATTCCTGCATTGCAAGGAGTTGGGCTGCAATGACCCTTGGGTTCCCTTTCAACTCTACAATTCTCTGATTCTAATAACATAACATATCAAATGATAACATAGAAGCAAATCAGTACACCACCGAATGCCAGTTGCTGGAGACTACCAATGGGAAACTCCTGTTTCCCCCTCATCCTGCTTATGGGCTTCTCATTCAGTGTTAACTGAATGCTGGTCTGGATAGACCTTTGGTTTGATCCAGGAAGACCCTCCTTATATTCACTGCATCAACCTCTTATTTTACTGATGGGCGGTTGCATTTATCAAATCTGTATTACATGTCAAACAACCTTTAGCGAAGGTCAGAATTTGAAGTGATTTAAGTAAGATACTCCAATTGCTTCCTTTTTTGTTGTTGCTTCAAATAATCATCTTGTCCTTTTCCCTTTTTACCAGTGAGCAGGGAGGAAGCTGAGCCTTCAACTTGTAATGTTCTGATCATATTGGGTGGGGGGGAATAGCATGTGTCAAGAAAACCGCCACTTCCCGACAGCTCCTAACTAGGCATCTTGTCTTGCCCTTCAAAGGCTCTGGACAGTTGTGATTCACTCAGTTCTTCTACATGGGCACTGTGTGTGTCATCTCAAAAGCCGGCTGCTGTGTTCAGTGCTAGGAGAGGACCTTGAACCATGAAAGGAAACAGATCAATGACTGATGAGAGAGAAGAGCTTTGAGGGTGTATGGCAGCTGACCCTAACCTGGTATCCTCCAGCTGTTTTGGATTATACCTCCCATAAGCCCTAGCCAGCTGGGGCTGATCGGGGCTGTAGCAGTCCAAACCCACTGCAAGATACCAACCTGAGGAACGCCAGTATTGACAACTTGCACGATCAAAGTAGGACGCATGAAGCAAGAGAGCAAAGTAAAGATCAGAAAGAAGGGAGGAGCGGGTGAAGCAGAGGAGGACGAAGATGTACCGCAAATAGAATGTGAAAAAGCCTCTGATAAGGAGGAAATGAGAAAAAGGGAGAATAAAGGCATGAAGCAGACGAGGTGGTTTACATTCTTTTGATATACAATGCATTAAATAGAAAATAAGTCACAGCTGACTGCAGCCTAATAGCTTCCACAAAACTGTGCTATGCATTAGAAATTGCTGGAGCAGGTCAGCCTGAGAATACATGGAGACTAGTGCCCTTTCCTTTGAGCCTGGGGGCTGCTTCAAACATGGTTTCTGTCTGAGAAAAAGTGGTGCCTGTAGACTTCCTGATTCGTGGATAAGTGAAAACACTTGCACTGCATATCTTATGTGGTGGACTTCATGCTTTTTTTAAAAGCAGGAAACTGCATGGAGAAAACATCACATTGTTGTGCAGTTGTTTCTCCCAAGTACTTTCTGAACCTTGCCAGTCAGATGAAAGTCTTCTTTCCGGAAGCATGACACGTGGCATTCCTGACAACATTTAAAAATGGGTTTTATTTATTTTATTTACTTCTTAACATTTCTATACAGTGGTATCTCATGGTTACATACGCTTCAGGTTACAGACTCCGCTAACCCAGAAATAGTGCTTCAGGTTAAGAACTTTGCTTCAGGATGAGAACAGAAATCGTGCTTCGGCGGTGCAGCAGCAGGAGGCCCCATTAGCTAAAGTGGTGCTTCAGGTTAAGAACAGTTTCAGGTTAAGAACGGATTTCCGGAACGAATTAAGTACTTAACCCGAGGTACCACTGTACTTCCTTTCCTCCAAAGACCTCGAGGTTCTCCCATTTCATCCACACGGCAACCCTGTGAGGTACATTAGGCGGAGAGACAGTGACTGGCCCAAGGTCATTCAGTGAGCTTCATGGCCAAGTGGAGATTTGAACCCTCGTCTCCCAGGCCCTAGTCCCAACACTCTTAACTGATGCACCACACAGGCTCTCAATTTCTTAATATCTCTATCAGATTCTGGCCTCTGTTGAATGCAGGCCTGGCTCGAGCCTTGTGATTGGTTTTAGACTTCAGAAGTATTTCTAAGAAGTGCATGTTGGAGGACTTCTGCAATGGCACCAGCTGAGCCAGAAATATTTCAGGTACAATTAAGAGTGCCAGTACTAATCCCTTAAAAAAGTCTTGGGACCTGGGTGTTTCCCATATCAATCTGCCTGTTTGCAAAGACCTGCAGCAAAGGTGTCTCTCTGGGTGCCCCTACCTTCAAAAGTAAGGCAGCAGGTGGTGGCGATGAAGAGGGGCTGTTCATTTGGTAGTGCTTGCCTCATACAGTGGTACCTCGGGTTACGTACGCTTCAGGTTACAGACTCCACTAACCCAGAAATAGTACCTCAGGTTAAGAACTTTGCTTCAGGATAAGAACAGAAATCTTGGTCCGGCGGCGCGGCGGCAGCAGGAGGCCTCATTAGCTAAAGTGGTGCTTCAGGTTAAGAACAGTTTCAGGTTAAGAACGGACCTCCGGAACGAATTAAGTACTTAACCCGAGGTACCACTGTATTGTGAATAGCTGACTTGGGGGTATGTGTGACTGTGATCAGGGCTACCGCAGGGGCAGAAGAATAGCTTTTCTGGGGAATATTTTATAGTACGCTGTGTAACATGGAGGGGGGTGGTTTCAAGTTTTAATTTTCCATTCTGTTTTCTCTGAGCATTTCTTAATATTTTGATGTCAAATCAGAGTGCTTGACTTGCCCTCTTTTCCTTCCCATCTATGGGAAGGAAAAGCTAAGCTAAACACCTCTAATCTCTTCCCACATGCCTGTCGTCATTTGTCTTTTTCCCTTTAATTAGTTTTAAACAGAGAAAATTGAACCGGAGATCAGCCTGAGGAATGTGCCATTTATTTGTATAATGGCATAGGTTTTCCATTTTTATTTTTCATCCCCTGTCTTGTGCATTTGTACAATTCTTTGTCTTTTTGTGACTTCTATCAAAGAGAGTTTTATTGACCCAGACCGCTGTAGATCTCTAATTCCTACCCCCCAAGAACTGTCACAGAGAATTTAGCATCTGTTAACTTTCGAGCATTTTAGATTCTTCTTACCATTGTGTGTGGTTCTGGATCTGCCAACATTATCATTTACTGTACTGCTCACCTAGTTTGCTTAGTTGCTATGAGCAAAGATGTCTGCAACGAGACACGAAGGCTAGCAGTATCAACCCTGCAGTGTGGATATCCCTTGCAGGCAACCGTAGTGCCTGGAGACAGACGGACAGGTCATGCATCCACAGTAGTGAGCAGAGGAGAAAGGACTGCTGGGAGGAATGCAGAGAAAAAATGCCATGGCGCATTTGTGGCAGCAGAAGCGGATGCCTTCATCTGCCCCAGCTGCAACAAAACATGTCTCTCCCATATCAAGTCTCTACTATCAGGCGCTGTAACTCTCCAACGGTTTGACCCCCAAACATGCACACCTCCATAGTCTCCTGAGACAGACAGGTGCCAACAATAGCAAGGCTGACGCTTATTTCACATCACAATCGTTACATGGTTGTTAAGTCACCCCACACATATTTTGAGTAAATTAGCTGGAGTGTTAACAGCAAATCCATAATCCCTTCAGAAATGTTCTATAATAAATCAAGTCAGTCCATTTCCTCTCTTTTCAGGGAAGAGGCAAGGAATGGCTACCACATCAAGGTAGGCACAAACATTAAAGGAAGCTACTTCAAAGCATGCATATAAGCGTTCTACCATTTGAAGCATTTTCAGATAAGGAGATGGAAAATGATGGCGACATTGTGCACAACAGGGTACCTTTTTCAGCGTTTCATAAGCATGCCCAGTTATCCAAACATTTTGGAGCAGAGTTCTCATTTTTACCACTGTCGTCATTCATGTTAAAACCCTGTTCATTTCGTGTACAACTTCTCAGTCCTTGCGCGGTGGCCAAAAGTCTGCATAAAGGTAAAGGTAAAGGTACCCCTGCCCGTACGGGCCAGTCGTGTCCGACTCTGGGGTTGCGCGCCCATCTCGCTTAAGAGGCTGGGGGCCAGCGCTGTCCGAAGACACTTCCGGGTCACGTGGCCAGCGTGACAAGCTGCGTCTGGCGAGCCAGCACCAGCGCAGCACACGGAAACGCCGTTTACCTTCCCGCTAGTAAGCGGTCCCTATTTATCTACTTGCACCTGGGGGTGCTTTTGAACTGCTAGGTTGGCAGGCGCTGGGACCAAGCAACAGGAGCGCACCCCGCTGCGGGGATTCGAACCGCCGACCTGACGATCGGCAAGTCCTAGGCGCTGAGGTTTTACCCACAGCGCCACCTGCGTCCCTAAAAAGTCTGCATAGTGCTATGGAAAACTGCGTCGACTCACTTTATCAAAACATGTCTTAACAAAGCATGGACAACATTCTGTTGAAAAAATAGGTGCACTAACTTGCTAAGGATCAAGTCATCCCCTCCCCCAAACCTCCATGTGTATCTATTACATTTCTCTTTCATTCTTCCTTAAAGGAGGCAAGTCTGTGGGGTAAGCAGCCTAGTGTCTAGCCTTGAAATAATCTTGTTGGTTAAGGTAGGATGAAGAAGATTGACTGGTCCAGCTTCCAATCAAAGATACTTACATGACGGAGCAGAAGTTTGGAACTACAGTGGTACCTTGGTTGTCGAACGGCTTGGCTCCCGAATAAATCAGCTCCCGAACGCCGCAAACCCAGAAATGAGTGTTGCGGTTTGCAAATGTTTTTTGGAAGCCTGCAGCCAATCGGAAGCTGCACTTTGGTTTTTGAACAGTTCCGAAAGTCGAACAGACTCCCAGAACAGATTAAGTTTGACAACCAAGGTACGACTGTATGCTACTCCAGTTCAAGCCTCAATCTACCCACCACCCTGCCGTTCCTGGCTATATTTCATCTAGAGTCGTCGTGAGAATAAAAATACGTATCCTTTCCTCATCTCTTTTGGGGGGAAATGAGCTACAAATAAGAATATAAAAAATGCATGCATTTTTATTCCTTGTTGTGAGTTGCCCTGCAACTATAAGTAAGTAAATGCCATTAGAAAGATTTTGCAATGGGATACGACACATAATGTAGGATGGTGGCTTTTTTTCATGTTGACTTCTCTGTTTCCGTATATGCACAAGGAGCTGTGTCCTCCTACAGCTAGGGTTCTTCCATCTTTCTCCCGCAAAAGATTTTTTTTTTAAAATGAAGAGCACCTGGAACACCGCTTTTCATTCATTTTAACTCTTACTGCTAAACAAAGTGAGCTTCGTACAGTTCATAATTGTTGCTCCTTTTGCGGTCGTCATACTTTGCCTTTGGCTGTCTAGGTATGAAAGGACCCAAACCAATTTGTAGGCCTTTATGTATCTGAAACAACTTTGTTAAAGTGATTGCGTTTTAAACAGCAGGCTCTTTTATTTTGTCACTGGCTTCCGCAGTACTTTCTGTAATTGGTGTTTGCGAAAACTCTAGGTGAATAACTGGGAAAGTGGGGGGGGGGAGCAGAAACTAAGGGAGCACTTCATTGAGGTTGGCTGATAAATTTAGAACAAGGTATGAAAAGTGGAGTTTTTTGGGATGAAATAAGCAGTTGACCTGTGGAATTTATTGTAGCTCTAGTCACGTTAAAAAATACAGGTTTAAAATTTTGTTTGGCAATGGAGCTTAGATCATGTTGGTTCAGTCCTGCTTTTCCGTCAGTTAACTGTGTGTCAAGAAGGGATATGTATACATTGAGTGGCCCATGTTGCTAAAGGTTTCCCCCTCTCCTCTCCTTTCCTTCCCTCCCTCCCTGACCCCTTGTATTTTGGAGTAGAAGGTGCTGGTTCTTGCCCAGGGCAGGGTAGCTGATTTGATGGGCCAGTGGTTTGATCCAATATGACAAATCGTGTGTTGATGTCTGAGGTGGAACGCATCATTTGGCCTGCGTTTGCAGAGGCTTTTGAGGTTGCAGTCTCTTTGCGGGTCTGTCCAGAGCTCATCAGGGGAGAAAAACTATTACAGTTCTAGACTTTTGCCATAAGGAATGACTAATTGAGGGATTACATGTTTGGCATGCCAGAACAGAGAGAGAGAGAGAGAGAGAGAGAGAGAGAGAGGTGATGTCAGTAAAGCGTTGTGACGGGAAAATGCCTGAATGTTAGAATGTAGACAAAGCGAGGAAAGATGGTATAGGCCCTGATTTAAAATGTAGCCATCAGTCAAATTCTTTTCTCCTTAAAATGCCTCCTCAAATTTTACCATTTCCATTGAACCTTTCACGTAATCACAAAGTACACACAACTTTACCTGTGCAAAATGGTGCTGTCAGGACCATAGCTGTCAACTTTCGGATTTGAAAATAAGGGATCAGCAGCCTCACCTGTCCCGGGGACAGTCTACGGGATATCTAACAATCCGGGATAGCAGCGGGAAACAGTGCCGAAATAAGGGAATTTCCCGCAAAAAAAGGGAAGGTTGACAGCTATGGTCAGGACGGTTGGGTTGTCTATAGCTCTGCAATAAGGTTACAGTCTCTGCCTGGAGGTGTGGGTTTGAATCCCACTCTGCCCTTTGGCAGGACGTATGAGTGGTCCAAGGTCCTGCATTTGTGCCTGGAGGTGGCCGAATCAGCTTTAAAGGCGGACCATATCTCAGTGATAGGAACCTCCTGTTCTTTCAGAAGATCTCAGGTTCAATCCCAGACACTTCCACTTAATAGCAGAGATTGAAGACTTCTTTCTGAGATCCTAGAGAGCTGCTGTCAACCAGAGTAAATCATATTGAGCTAGACAGACAGCTGGTTTTAAGGCAAACTATGTATGTTCCTACAAGGGATGTGGGTGGCGCTGTGGTCTAAACCACTGAGCCTAGGGCTTGCCAGTCAGAATGTCAGCAGTTCGAATCCCCACGATGGGGTGAGCCCCTGTTGCTCGGTCCCAGCTCCTGCCAACCTAGCAGTTCGAAAGCACTCCAAAGTTCAAGTAGATAAATAGGTACCACTCTGGTGAGAAGGTGAACGGCATTTCCGTGCGCTGCTCTGGTTTCACCAGCTGGCCACATGACCCGGAAAAACTGTCTGTGCACAAACGCCAGCTCCCTTGGCCAATAAAGCAAGATGAGCGCCGCAACCCCAGAGTTGTTCATGACTGGACTTAACTGTCAGGGGTCCTTTACCTTTACCTTTTTATGTTCCTACTAGTTTGCTCCACTTGCCAACCTCCCCTGCCATTCCTCCCCATTAACCTCCTGGAGCTTCCCCGTCATACCCCGTGGAAGGACTAAGCTTGCTTTTCACCTTCCCAGCCCCATTTCTCATGCCGTTTCTCTCTTCTGTTTGTTAGTCCAGCTTTGCATCCCTGTTTTCACCCCCCATGTCCATGCCTCCTCCCTCTTCTTTTGTGCAACCTCCTTTGCACACAAAACTCCTCCATGGTAACCACCTGCATCTTCTTCCTCCCACACATTGCAACTACTAAGCATCCTTTTCACTTTATGCCGAATAATGAAGCCTGCATGGTCTCCTATTCGTCAAACCCTTTCATGCCCCTGCCTTCAGTTTCAACCTCGTTCCCATGCCTTCTGCTCTCTCCTTTCTCTGCATCACCATATTCACCTTTACTCCTTTCCCCCCCTCTACCCGTCTGCTTACTTTCCTCAACTCTCCCTTGCACGCCACCCCATTTCCACGCCTCCCCCTCTCACTTGCACACAAACCCCTATGTGGATCCATTCTGCTGTCTCTTTAAAATAAACAGAATTTAAAGAGCAAGGCTGTCAGTTAGCTTCTTCAGTTAGAGCACGGTAGAGTTCTGTTGGTGGATGTTGCTTCTTAATAAAGACTCTGTTCCGAATTACTACAAAGATTCTGGAACTTCATGTAGAAGACAACGCATGGTGCCAGGAGTGGAGGTACCAGGTTTGTGGGGAAATACTATGGAGTCATAGGTTGCACATCCTTTATCTCACATAAGCTAGCTGAGGAATGGAAGTTTAAATCAACCAAATGTTCCTTTTCAGTATTCCTCCTTTCCTGATGTACTCAAATGACCGTAAAAGTTTCCTCAAACCTCCGCCATTTTTTAAAAGCTGCCATTTTCTTCTCTGTTTCCACCATTTCTTCTTTACTCCAGCTTCTGGTGTTGTTTTAAAACCACTCCTCCCCTCTCAGTGATTCTCCTTTCTTGTCCCCATGCTATTGTACAACCTGCCTTCTCTTTTGCTTCTCATCATTATTACATTTGTATACTGCCCTTCATCCATAGGTCTCAGGGTGGTTCACAACATAAAAATACGAGATAAAAAACACAAAATACATAATAAAAACAGGAACAAACCAATAACCCCTCCTTCCCCCCAACCCCCCATGAGGGCTCAATGCAAATCCAAATTGTTATGAGGCACCACAAATCCTCCAATGGGGGCTGCCCAATGACAGCCTTACATTTTAATGTATTTAGGAAGATAAAATCACTCCCTGCTATGCTTTCATCTCCTATTTTTCCCCCTTCCTCTGATGTCACCTCAGCCGTCAAAATTTAAATTGCAAGCACTTTGTGCTAGAAATTGGGTTTTACTTATTTATATTTAATCTGCACTGTGTATGATATATCAATCAACATCATGTCTTTTGGAACCTTTGTAAAATGTGACTGCCTGCTGCAACATGTTGATGAAATGTGCCATGCGCAAACAGTTGTGTTCTGTCCCCAGGTCATAAAAGAGATGGGAGCTGGAAGGGCTTTCCCTTAATCCTTAGGGCAGTGTCTGTAATGCAAAAAGCTCTTTAGCAGTGTCAGCAACCAGGACTGAGAAGCCCCTTGAGAGAGAGAAAGCCTAAGGAAAGATTTGTGCTATAGGAATGGCTTGACTTCAGAAGTCTTCCTTTCTAAGACAAGTGGAGTACTTGTCGTATAACGGACATGCAAGGAGCTCTGAATGTATTCTGAATTCCTTATTTTTGGGCAGTGGGGGAGAGAGTGGACATTTCTAGTCTATTTCCTAACCAATGCTAAGCATCTCTCATTCTGTGTGTTACATGTGAATGCAGGGTGGAATAGTTCAATTTTGAAGCTGCACTTGAGCTCCAAGAACAGCTGCTTTTAAAATTTTTACATTAAAAGGCCGAAGATACAAGCCGAGACTGATTTACACCCCTGATGCGAAAGTGCTCTTACTTCTAAGTTGTGAATCTAGAATTACTACCCTGGTCATTTTTCAGAAACACTAAAGGAAGTTAGAATGCTCACAAACTTTCAACCTTCTGCCCTCTTTAACATGTGAATGGAACATGTTAAAAATCAGCTAATTTGCATTTGTATATTAGTTGGCAGTTTTGGCTTGTGTGCACCAAACTCTGAAACCATTAGTTGAGTGACCGTTTTGTTTTTTTGTTTGTTTGGATCCTAATTTCACAGATAAAGCTGTGACTCGGTCTGTGGTCTATGTCATAATTCTGCAGGACTAGCGCAGTGTGTGGTTACTTAACGTAGGATGCCAAGTTTGTAGTCCTTCCACACAACTCCAGTACACATGGGATTCCTTCAGACACTCCTAGGGAGAAGCTTCCAATAGTGCTGTCCCATACTGCTGTTGAGGCCTCTTCCCATTGATCTGTGTCCCTGGTGGGATGCTGTTTGGGTTGAAAAGGTCCCCATGATAGGCCCTGAATACTTGACTCAACCACATGGGGATAGCACCATTGGCAGGGCAGTTTAGTGTGTCTTTGAAGGGGCTGTGAGATTGAGCACTGGGTGGGTGTGCAGGGGTTTTGTGGTGGCACTTGCATGAATCGCAAGGTGTTTACCTGCAGCTGCCCTTGCAATCTGAGTGCAAAAAAAAGACAGCATTCAACATGTCATGAAGCGGCTTGGGCGGCGGGTGGTAGAGTTTGAATAATCCAAAGACTGACATTTGTTTGGGGGTGTCTCGTTTTTATCTTTCCCCCCAGAATGGTCTTCGATGTCTTTTGAGGAGCTGCTGCAGTTGAGAAATCGAGTTGGGACCAAGGCTTATCAGCAGATGACTACTGGGAAAAGGGCAGTAAATGTCACAAAAGCAGAGAAGAGGCAGCGTCCAAACAAGCACGGGTAAATGTGTTTCCCTGTTGTGCATTCCCCAAAAGAGAACTGCATTCCCCTGGGCTCAGGTGAAGTCTGCAAACCTGCGCTTCCTTACTTGAGAGTGAGCTCTCAAGTTAGCAATTACCGAACCTGCACATGGGCTCATGCAGTAAGCCCTTTTCTGCTTGTTGAAGGGCGTAGAGATTTCTGAGCTGCCTCTGGAGAGCTATTGGAGCAGAATGCATTCATCCTGGAAAGAAGGAATTGGAGTTTAACCAGAGGGCTCCCTCTGGGAGGGTGGGTGGTAGCATGGACTTACCTGAAGAACTAACAGCCTTAAGTGTCTGCTTTACGGTCTGCACCACTGGAGCTGCTACCTTGCTCTCGATGCATTTTTATAACCTTTCTGTGATTAATTTACTTCCTTCTTCCTAAGCCTCTCTGGGAGCCATTTATGTGACTCTTTGGCCCCGTTAGTGTTCCCAGTCTCTCACACTTCAGTGTACAGTAGTACCTCGGGTTACATACGCTTCAGGTTACATACGCTTCAGGTTACAGACTCCACTAACCCAGAAATAGTGCTTCAGGTTAAGAACTTTGCTTCAGGATGAGAACAGAAATCGTGCTCTGGCGGTGCAGCAGCAGCAGGAGGCCCCATTAGCTAAAGTGGTGCTTCAGGTTAAGAACAGTTTCAGGTTAAGAATGGACCTCCGGAACGAATTAAGTACTTAACCTGAGGTACCACTATATTCTGTAAAATGCCATCAATGTGATGAGTAATTTAAACATTAAAGCAGACACGGATGCAAATGGTCACTGTATTCCCTCCTCAGACACCTCCCCGCAGTTCTCTCCATTTTGCTGTGTGTCATTACCCTTTGTTCATCGTCCTGAAGCCAGGTTTCACTCGCCGCAAGTGTCCCATCCAAGAGACACCTGCTCTTTCCTTCATCAGTTCTCTCTCATCTCTTTCCAACTTTCTCTGCTTCTCTTCTCTCTCCCCTCCCCACCCTCTGTTAATATCTTGTGCTGCTACTTCACCTTTTACCTGAAGCTCTCGCTGGCTTTCCAGACAATGCTATATAAGCCTTTCAAAATGCCTCTTCTATTATGGGTTGCTTATTTCTATTTTTATCTCTCCAAAGCCTTTTGAGAGAGAGCCTTTCTACAAAAGCCCCAGTGCAGCTGGAATCAAATCAGCTAGGTATTTGTGTGTGTGTTTGTTTGAAAGGAACCCTCTCGACTTTTAAGGGAATGCTCCCCAAATTCTATCCTGTTCAGTGGTGCATTCTTGAATGAAATTGGATTCAGAAGCAAGTAACATAACACCGCAATATTTTTTAAAAAGTGAGCAAGCTTTATAAAATCTTCCACATGCTCATTGGAAACCAGTATGTTAGGGAAGTGAAAAGCGAGAGGTGTCTGCAGGAGCCTGGCTGGTTTGTGAATTCTCACATGGTGTTTCGAATGACAGCTCCTGCCCTGCCGCTGCGGTCCATTCTCTGGCTTGTATCTGACAAAGTCGTCCTATTCGTGCAAGGACTGCTGCCTGCACAATGGGATTCCTCTGCCCGCCCCCAAATCTGCTCTCTAGGGTTGGGGGGAACCCTAGAACAGATCTGGGGTGTGTACATGGGGAGATGAGAAGGAGCATAGGTTGAACTCCTTGTGCTTACAGGACAACTTAGTTGGGTATGGGCCTAACTGCCTGCTGCAGAAAGCAGAATCCCGTTGCTACTTCAAACTTGGAGGAGAAAATTGCAGTGGGGCAGCTGGGACACCACAGCCAAATAATGTTTTGCTGCCCCGGGGCTGTTAAAGCAATAGGTGCCGCATCCGGATCAAGAACTGGCAGCTCTGCCTGCGAAACTCCACAGTACTGTCTGGTAAGGGTGCTGTCTTTTCAGCTAGCTAATAAAAATATAATTAACTTCATCGAGCCGTTCATGGGCTGTTGGTGCAGAAGATTAGCTTACTTGTTTTCTCCACTCCTCATAATTTTATCAGTTTGCACTTCTCCTGAGGGAATTTGGTGTATCCCTCTAAAAAAGGCTGTTTCGTAGAGAGCCGTCTGTTTCCTGTGATGCGCTGCTTTTTCTGCCGCGTCTGAAGGCTGGCGGTTGCGAAACACAACAGGAGTGTGACTTGGTTAATGTCACTGCCGAAGAGGGTCTGGGTGTCATATTTTCAAAGGATTTCTACGGCGGCTCATTAAAATTTATGTTGGCATAGCGATGGCGCCACGTCAGTCCAGGGAGTAAAAGGCACCAAATAAGTGATATGTTGACTTTACTGGACCAATCCATTTTGGAGAGAATATTCCAGGTTCATCACCTGCTTTTGTCCTCTGAATAATTGGGCAGTGTGGGTTGAAAATGCTTTGAAGGTGGTAATCCAGCAGGTTAGAGAGAGGTAGGGAACGGGATGCTGGAACCGTTTATTGCTAAAGTGGAGACCTTTTCCCAACTCCTGCTTTGCATAAGTTTATTCCAGTATTTACTGCTTTTTATAGCCTGCCTTTCCACTGAAGTGCTCAGGTGCAGCTGGAGCCAAAACAGTTCTAACGTACAGTAAGCCCGCAACTGACGCTGGGGTGACGTTCTCGGGATCGCGCCCAAAGCCCAAATTGCATGTCATCAAAACACGTTTGGTTCAACGGCAGGTTGGGGGGGGCATCATTTTTCCTGGAATCCTGCCCCCTTTATTTTACTTTTTGTCTCACGCATAAAGCTGAATGCGTACAAGTTAAATGTATGCAAGTTGTAGGCTTAGTAAATACAAGACATGAGTGGTGCTTAGTTCTTTCTTCTTACCACTTGAACAATAGCTGTGGTTATTCATGGATATAAAGTTTAAGAACACAACAATATTAAAACTTATTTTACATCAAGCTACAGGTGAAATGTTGGGCCAAAGAGGATTTAAAAAACCAAAACTTTGCAAATTGTAATAAATCTGGGCACCTTTCGGTCATTGTATCCCATAAAACAGAAGCAACGACTGAGAAAGCCCTGGTCCTTGACCTTTTCTAAGTGGGGCTGTTGTCAGAGGAGGGTCTCCTTTGCTGATTTTTACTGAGAGACAAGCTCTCGTGCTTTCCCTGAGCCCAAGTTGTTTAGGACTTGAAAGGGTAATGTCAGCATTTTTGGAAAGGGCATGGAAGCCAATTGGTGGTTGAAGCAGATCCAGCGTTGCATAATCCCGAGTGTTCCTTGACGTTAATTAATGGGCTGCTGGGTTTTGCATGAAGAACAGCTTTTGAATACTCTAGCAGAAGCCCCAGATATAGCATATTGCAGTAGCTCAGCCTTGAGATTACAAACTGAGCGATGGTTTCCATAGCCAGGGATGAGGAATCTGTGGCATTCCAGGTGTTACTGAACCACAACTCCCATCATTCCAGTCTATTGTCCACGCAGGATGGGGCTGATGGGAGTTGGAATCCAGTGATACGGGGGGGGGGGGGGAGAGAAAGCCTTTCCACCCCTGGTTTTAAGGCAGAACCATTGATCTGGAATAATCAGCCAAAGCTGATGATAAAAAGCAATTCTGGATGCTAGAGAGATTTTGAACATCCAAAAGTAGCTCAGAGTGGGTCCACTTCCAGAGAGTGTAATTCCATCAATCAAAAAATATTTCCATCCAAATTTATCTGACTTTGGGTCTTGGGATAAAAACTTGCAGCTTATACAGCTGGTAGCAGAACCCTGTGATATACCGATAAAGGCTAGGAGCCATCATTTCAAACCAAAATCATGACTTTGAACATCAGAAAAACAAAATCTCATTAGAGATTATATTATTTTGTCTGAAACTTTGCTCCCTGACCTTTATGCAGAGTAGCGTACACATAATGACTTGCGGTTTGTGCCCTGCAATTCTGAAGAAAAAGACGCCCTCTTAAAAGGCAATGAATGCAGGTGAAAGGGGACGGGAATGATAAGAGCACTTAATTAGATGCACACAGCCCGAGAAGCTGTTTTTCCCCCCTTTTTTTTTAATTAGCGCTTTTCCCTCTTTTACCCACTGATTATATAATTAATTTGCCATACAGATTGCAATCACCGCAATACAATCATTCGCATCGGAATCCACCCATGCCAGCAGAATCGAAATGTTTTCTACGCTTTCCGTCTTTACATCCTCCCATTCTGCATAGGAGTACGGACCCAGCGGGTGTGTGGATGCACCGAGAGTCAAATTAGATGGCGGGCGTGAGAGGGTGCCTGCCTGTGCCTGCAGGGGGTGGGGAATGGGGGTTGAAATGATCCCTTGTTTCAAGCTCCCCTCCCCAAACAGAAGTGGCTGGCAGCAGTCTGGGTGCCCTCCCTTTTTGCTGCCAGGGAATGTTGGTGGCAGAGAGCAAGACTCAAGTACCATCCCTCAACCAGTCAGCCAGGTGTGGGGCTGAAGAGAAGCAAGTCTCTGCAAGTCCTTCAGCTGGGTAGGGACCGGATGCTGCGACCATAGCTCTTGGCGATAGAGTGCATGCTTGGGTTCAGTCCCTAGCATCCCCAGGTCAGGCTGGGGTGGGGGGGAAATGCTGCTGAAACTCCGGAGAGCTGCTGCCAGTCAGTGTAAGGTAAAATAAAATCAAAGGACCCCTGGATGGTTAAGTCCATTACAAGGCAACTATGGGGTTGCAGCGCTCATCTCGCTTTCAGGCTGAGGGAGCCAGTGTTTGTCCACAGACAGCTTTCCAGGTCATGTGGCCAGCAGGACTAAACCGCTTCTGGTGCAACAGGACACCGTGATGGAAGCCAGATCGCACGGAAATGCAGTTTACTTTCCCGCCACAGTGGTACCTATTTATCTACTTTCACTGGCATGCTTTCGATCTGCTAGGTGGGCAGAAGCTGGGACAGAGCAACGGGAGCTCACTCCGTCGTGGGGATTCAAACCGCCGACCTTCTGATCAGCAAGCCCAAGAGGCTCAGTGGTTTAGACCACAGCGCCACCCGCGTCCCGCCAGTCTGTGTACATAACACTGAGATAGATGGGGAAATGTGCTGACTGTGTATAAGACAGCTTCTATATTCCTGTGTGGAGGATAGAATTTGGCTCAATGGATGTGCATTTGAAGAGGCTTCCTTCTAGCTTGAAAGGGGAATTGGCCTCTTAGCTTTCCTCTGAAGCCTGTTTTCCCCTTTGAAATTCTGTGTGTGATAGTTATTTTGAAATGACAGCTACAGGCACCTCACCGACATTCCCTGGGTGCCATTTTGCTGACGGTGAGGGTCCAATTGCAACTGCGTGGACTGAGTGCTAGGTTGGCGACTGAGAGCTTCATTGAGTCATCTGACTCGTGCACAACGAAAGCTGCACATCTTGTGTCGCTGCACGAATCATGGACTCCTTGCTGGTCATCTTAGTCCTCCATCATCACATCAAGGAAAGGAAGTTCAGGGCTGAGTACAGAGATATTTAACTGTGCTGCAGCCTCTCCACAGGCCACCCAAATGGAACTCGCAGACCACAGTTTGAAAACCTCTGCCTTGGCCCATAGTTAATTCCAGTGTTAGAAACTAGGATAAGAAAGCTAGGAGCCAAATGACTTCTGGGACCTGGGTTGTGGGCGCCAAAACAGAATGCCTAGGCGCTACCGGGGGGAGGGGGAGGTTGACAACACTTTTTATTTATTATTTTGATAAGCATCAGTTAATATACAATTCACATAAGTGACATGTTTTTTAGCATAAATTGTTAATACATGTTTCATTTGGCGTATACAATAAAATATTGGTACAATACGGTTTTCAAAACAGTCTACTCTTTCCTTAACATATACCTCAAGGCTTCAAATCACATACATTTCAGTAATTCTTGACTGACAGCCAGGCGCAAAAAATGGCACCCAGACTTTTTGAGGTGCTCGCAAATGGAGAATCTTTAGGCGCAAAATGCGCCTGGCACCCTGCTAATTTCAACCCTGGTTGATTCCATTTCCATTTCCCCTGTGTTTGTTTCTGCTTTCAAGAGAATTGTTGTAAGAGCAAGCTACGGTCAAGCGATGTAGTTGAGATCATGGAATTGTAGTGTTGGAAGGGACCCCCAGGGTCATCTAGTCCAATAGACATTCTGTTGTGACGTCTGTAAAGTACTTCAAAGGTGCCATTTGGCGCCTAGTAAGTTTCTAACACTGCTCACCAGTAATATGCATGTCACAATTTTCTGTAAACAGGACATGATGCTTTCGTTGGTAGAGTAATTAACTAAAGCTGTACACTGCAGTCCTTAGCAAATATACTTGGAAGTAAGGTCCATTGTACGGAGTAGGATATAGTATTACGCTGTTGTGTTTAGGAGTACTCTCTTGATTTAAATAAAGGGGGCTGTTGATAATAATAATAATAATAATAATAATATTTATACCCCGCTCTCCCCAGCCAGGGCTAACACCAGTAAAATTACAGTAAAAACATAATACAGTAAAAAACCCAATTTAAAATACAGGTTAAAATGCAATTTAAAATGCAGCCTCGTTTTAAAAGTAGCCCATGGATCAAAACCGTAAGGGGAGGGAAAACATAAGGGTCAGACTGAGTCCAAACCAAAGGCCAGGCGGAACAGCTCTGTCTTGCAGGCCCTGCAGAAAGATGTCAAGTCCCGCAGGGCCCTAGTCTCTTGTGACAGAGCGTTCCACCAAGTCAGGGCCAGTACTGAAAAGGCCCTGGCCCTAGTTGAGACCAATCTAACAACCTTGTGACTTGGGACCTCCAAAATGTTGTCATTTGTGGACCTTAAGGTCCTCCACGGGGCATACCAGGATTGGGCATGAAAATTCAGGACACTCTTGTTCTTTGAAGTTACGTTTTCCCCCGTGGAATGGAGCGAAGGCAATGTTAAAAAGCCCTTTTCTTTCTAACAGTGAGTGGTAACTTACAATTCAGTAAACAGATGATACCTTGCATTTCCTTCAATATCTCAAAAAGGCATCTATACTGAGGCTCTAGTATTTAAATGTAATGATTAATCAATAATTGGTTAAAGGCCAGACTATTTATCAACTAAACTTTTATAATCAGTTGACAGCCCTTAATATATACATAGCAATAAATATAAGGAAACACATACATCATGTAGTTAGCCTTAATATCTATTATAAACTCTTCTGGTAGTAATACATCTTGTTCCAAAATTCAGAAGATTGAATCCAGTCCTGCGTTAATGTACTTTTCCCTTTAATCTCTTCTCTTGTCATATTACATAACACACTTTGCTTTCCAAGTGGCTTTCAATTCCTTGCACATAGCGGTCTCTTGGTTTCCAAAAGTTTCTAGTGGTCAACAGTGCGGAGGGAAAACAAGCAAAACACTGGCGCAGCGTTTGAGTTTCGCATCTTGAGAGTTGGTTCTGAGAAGCAACCCACCCAAGGATAGGAAACACCCCCAGGCTTCTCTTTCCTAAGTATGTACTCTCTCTCTCTCCCACAGACCTCTGGAAATTTCAGCCAAGAAGCCAGTCCCCTATCTAAGACGAGTAGTGCCTGTTAAAAAGAAGGTGAGTTGCTTTTTTTTCTGTTTAATTTTATTTCATTTCCCCTCCCCCTTTCTGGTTTTTATTTTTTCATTTTCTTTGTTAAATTTGCAAATTAATAAAAAAAGGGAGAAAATAACCTTGTGTCTGTGGACAAAAATAAACAGAAAAGAAAAGAAAAATATTTGAGTAACACAACTGAAAATTACTTGGGAGGGGATGAATATAAAGGAGTTCGCATGACGGCTGAGGAGACTGTTGACTGAGTAAGAGCCCGTGTGACTTAGAGAGCCAGTGTGGTGTAGTGGTTAAGAGCGGTAGTCTCGTAATCTGGGGAACCGGGTTCGCGTCTCCACTCCTCCACATGCAGCTGCTGGGTGACCTTGGGCCAGTCACACTTCTCTGAAGTCTCTCAGCCCCACTCACCTCACAGCGTGTTTGTTGTGGGGGAGGAAGGGAAAGGAGAATGTTAGCTGCTTTGAGACTCCTTAAAGGGAGTGAAAGGCGGGGTATCAAATCCAAACTCTTCTTCTTCTTCTTCTAAGCAGTGCTCAGTGCAGTGCTGCAAGAGGCAAGGGCCAGCGAGTGTGACAGGAGTGATACAGATCCGGCTTGCTCCTGAAAGACAGAGTAATGATGGGTGCCCAAGAAGAAAGACACCACTTTTTGGCAGTGTTCAAATTTTAGTGCTCGCTCCTCTTTCCTCCTCGCCAGGTACCTCGAGATCCTCGCTTTGATGACCTCTCTGGGGAGTATAAGCCAGAAATCTTTGAAAAGACGTATGGTTTCTTGAACGACCTCCGGAAGAAGGAGAAAGAGGTAATGGCTGCAGCTACTCACGTCGAGTGCAACCTGCCTAGAAGGAGAAAAGGCCTGTGTCGAAGCCCGTTTTACCTCAGAGTCCTGGGTTGAAAGGCGACTTCCCTTTCAGCACATTCCCCTCTTTCCCCCCTGCAGGTAGTTCAGAAGCACCTGAAGAAAAGCCGAAATGTGGAGCGGCAAATCAAGTTGCAGCAGCTCCTCAAGCAAATGGTGAGTTGGGGCCGCGGGGAATTAGGAGCAGCTCGGGTTTCCTTGGGAGACGCTGCAGGCAGGCCCAAAGTCTGGAGCCGCCATTCTGCAGAAAGCTCCAGTGAGGCCAGTGAGATTGGGGAGAGGAGAAACGTTGACGCTGGCCAGCCATGTCATGTTTGCAACTTGCCCCCCTTTGCTTCTTAGACTCAGCAGGAGGAGACACAGAGGAAGCAACAGAAGGAGAGAGAAAAGGAGCTGGCCTTGAAGAGGCAGCAGAGGGAGCTGGCCCAGCAAGGAAAGAAGCCCTTCTATCTAAAGAAGTGTAAGTGTTGGCCTGTCGACAGAAGCTGCACGGTTCGAGCCTTGACTTTCCATCAGGCATTAATGCTGTCAAATAGGGGACCTGTTGCTGATGCAGTGGCATAGCTGGCGGGGGGGCACAGGGGCGATTGGCTCGGGCGCAAAATGTCAACACCCAGTGCTGCCTCAATACAGCTGCGTGCTTCTGTCGCTAGGCTCTGCCTAAAACGGTTTCTCCCTGCGAACCAGGAAGTGACCTCTCCATGCAATGGAACAACTCTTCTTATCTCTGTAGCTGCGATCTCCTGGGTGACGGGGGCACTGCTAGGCAGTTGAATGAGCATGCGTACACTGTCTGTTTCCCAGCCTCCCACCCATCCCCTCTACACGGCCCTGGGCCCTGGCAACCCACACTACACCACTGTGCTGATGTATGTAAATTGGTTCACAGTCTGCAGTGGTGTGACTCTTGAACAGAAGGAAGAAATCCTTTTAAGACAGGGCTCAATGGGAGTCAGTTAAACAAACTGATCAGAGTCATAGCTGCGCTTCTGGGTTTGTCCAGGTTTGACCCAAACTCTGTGTGACCTTGAGCACCTGATAGTCTTCCCCTGACCCTGTTTACCTTCTATAAAGACAGTCTGTCATGTTCTTCTCCTCTGCTTGGTTTGCATATTGGAGATGGTCAGCACTGCCACTTTGAATGGTGTTCTCACCTGCAGTGTTCATTGGATCTGATTACCAGTTGCACTGGGGAATAATGCAAAGCAAAGGGACTGGATGGTGACTTTTACTGAGGGGGTGTGCAGTCATCAATGTGGATTTTCTTTTTTTTAATCACGGGACTATTAAAAGGTGGGAGAGGACTGGGAGTGGAAGAGGAAACTTGAGTTAGGGATGGGAATTGCTAGTGACATTATGAACATGGCTGGCTTGAATTAAGGCCACTTTCCCTTTTGTGCTTTGCAGCTGATAAGCGGAAATTGGAACTGGCTGAGAAGTACAAAGAGCTGAAGAGGAGTGGGAAGCTGGAGGGCTTCCTGAGCAAGAAGAGGAAAAGGAATGCGGCCAAGGACAAAAGGAGGCTGCCTTTTAGGAAGGATGTGTAATATCTGGCTATACAGTCATACCTCATGTTACGTCCGCTTCATGTTACGTTACTTCCGGGTTTCGCTGCTCGCGCATGCACAGAAGCGCAAAATGACGTCATGCGCAGAAGCGGCAAATTGCAACCCGCACGTACGCAGATGCGCCGCTGCGGGTTGAATTCTTTCCATGTTGCGAACGGGCCTCCAGAACGGATCCCGTTCGCAACCAGAGGTACCACTGTATTTGTGACACGCCATTTTACAGGTGCAAATCTCCTGCTGCAAATCAACTCTCGACTCTGGCCAGCAAGGTCAACAATCCCAAGTTTTCTCTGCCCCTAATGCCAGGGGCATTCTGGTTCTCCGAACAAGCAAGAAATTGAGCAAAATTAATTGGTGACATTCCCAGCCTGAGAAGCGTTCACCTTCTTCAATGGGAAATGGATTGCATAATTTGCAAAATTTTCTCTTCCTCCTTCCAGGGGCAAGCCTCAAGCTTGGCAAAGAGTCAAGAAGCACCCCACACACACACACATATTTCCCAGGACTCCCCACTCCTTGTTTCTTCCACTACGCAGCCTGTGTAGACTTGGAGGCTCCCCGGTTTCCGTCCACCTGCTTCTCTTGCTACTTATTAGTGCTGCTTGGTTGTATTCCCAGCTGTTTTCTTTGCAGATTGCTGTGGAAGCTTAAGAGAGTTTCCCAGAAAGCAGCGTGCCTTAGCTTCATGTGCTGGTATTACGCTGGCCAGAATCTTCCACAAGATTTTCCGTATCTGGAAAATTAAAACCACCTTCAAATACTGGCAGTTGAAGTCTCTTTAAGTAAAAATCTGGTGGAGAATTATCCCAAATAAAGTTCCCAATTAGCCCAATAAATTTCCAAAGATAGGCTTGGGGAATATATAATGAAATACCACAAACTACATATATTACCTGTGGCAATATATTCATCTTTCATTTATTAACCTTACCCCCAAATGCTAAATTTTAAGTAATGGCCACCTCTCCATATTACTAGAAACCTCTTTCGTCAACTTACTCAAATAAAATTTAAACATTTTAATAATTGGAACCAGGATGCCAAGTGTGTTAAGATGTCTGGCCACCAACAAAATCACCAATTTGTGTACGATCTGCACTAGCCCACCTGCAATTTCAGTCATTTAATTGTATACTCTCAAATTCTACCAAAACAACCAGAACTGGGTGGTTGTTTGTTTGTTTGTTTTGCTGTGAATGTGCATGCTTCTAACATTGAACTGAAATCTGGGCAGTTTCTAGAGATTCTGTACAAAGAAACTAATTGCTGTCTCATTACTGGTGGCAATGAGTGTGTATGTCATTTTGACAGACCTGCTTTGGATTACTAACTGGTAAGGTGTTTTATAGCAACATTTCACCGAACAAATTTTTAAAGTAAAGTTACTAATTTTATAAAATCAAACTTCTTCCTCTTTGAGCACCAAGTGAGATTTTATTTGCAAGACTTCTTATTTTGCTAGGGCAAAGACATTTTCTCAACATTTCCGCCTAATTTGCTCTCGCCCCTTACCCCTGCCTCTTTTCTCTGTTTCTCTCAGTATGGCCTGATATTTTCAGCTAGTAATAATTGCCATCGTGGCTTCATTCCAGATAAGCAGATCACTTTCCGGTTTTTATCTTGCGTTACAAATCTTGTCAGACCTTTAGTTCTTGCCCTTCTCTTTCTCTCTGCTTCTGAGCCAACTACAACTACAACATTTTATGGATGGACGGGAGAATTTTGCAAGGGCTGTGCTTTGATATAAGGAGCACGCTTCTCAAATTTAGTACTTTGCATCTGTGTCTCTGTGCATTTTGCAGTTGCTGTCTGATGCTACCTTTGTATGAAATTGGACTGCTTTTTTTAAAAAAAACTTATTTTAATCTTCTCATCCAGAGGTGCAAGGAGCAAAGAGGTATGCTGGGCATCTCAAAACCTTCCTACTAGAAATCCATTTTATAGCCCTCTGGTTTAACACCTGAGAGCAGCAGCCCTGCTGGTGTGAGATGAGAAGGTCTATCCACTGCAGCATTCTGCTTCTAGGGAACCCTCAAGCAGGGCATGCAATTCTCATCCTGCTCTTGGTCTCCAGCAACTGTTGTTCAGTGGCATATTGTCTCTGAATGTGTCTTCTGTGAATTTATCAGTCTTTGCACCAATACTCTTTGCTCCATCCTTTGTGACTTAGAAGTTGAGGTTGTTGTTTTTAATGAAAGCCCTAAACAGCCTCGGCCCAGTATACCTGAAGGAGCGTCTTCACCCCCATCGGCCAGCCCAGACACTGAGGTCCAGTGCCGAGGGCCTTCTGGCAGTTCCCTCACTGCGAGAAGCCAAGTTACAGGGAACCAGGCAGAGGGTCTTCTCGGTAGTGGCACCCGCCCTGTGGAACGCCCTCCCACCAGATGTCAAAGAGAAAAACAACTACCAAACTATTAGAAGACATCTGAAGGCAGCCCTGTTTAGGGAAGCTTTTAATGTTTAATAGGTTATTGTATTTTAATATCCTGTTGGAAGCCGCCCAGAGTGGCTGGGGAAACCCAGCCAGATGGGTAGGGTATAAATAATAAATTATTATTATAATGAAAGCTGGGATTTATTGATTTTCTAGCAAGAAGTTGAATTCCATAGCTGGTATCCAATGGTATACTTTCCCAGTGCGGTCACAGAATCCAAAGAGACTTGTAAAATCTCTTGCCCTGGGACTGAGGAAGACACTGGCCTCTGCCACCAACCCGGGAACCAAGAAATTGAGAGACTTCAAGAAAGAACAACATGGGAAGGAGAGAACAAGCCTGGCTCTATCCATTGGCCCGAGAAGGAGCAGCTTCAGTGAATCGGATCCTCTTGTTCCCCTGCCAGAAAGAAAATTCTGTTCCGGTTGCCAGTTTCCCTGGCACTGCAGAGCAGAAAGGAATTAATCTCTGGCCTCATCAATCAGCCAAGATTACTGCAATGTGTTGTACATGGGACTGCCTCTGAAGATGGTTCAGAAACTTCAGATGGTGCAGAATTCAGCAGCCAGGTTGCTCACTGGGGCAAGACGGTTTGATCATATAACGCCAGTCCTGGCCTGACTTCCTCTCTCCATATGAACCAACCCTCTCTCCATATGAACCAATCCAGACCCTGCAATCATAATCTGAGGCCCTTTTTCATGTGCCTCCTCCATGAGAGGTCCAGAAGGCTGCAACACAAGATTTTTTTTCTGCTGTGGCTGCCCATTTTTAGAATGCTTTCCCCAGGGAGGCTCACCTGGCGCAGGAGGCCTTTGGCTAATTAAACAATCTATGACCTTTTAGGGGACGTGGGTGGCGTTGTGGGTAAAACCGCAGTGCCTAGGACTTGCCGATCGTATGGTCGGAGGTTCGAATCCCCGCAGCGGGGTGAGCTCCCGTCGTTCGGTCCCAGCTCCTGCCCACCTAGCAGTTCGAAAGCACCTTTAAGTGCAAGTAGATAAATAGGTACCGCTTTATAGTGGGAAGGTAAACGGCGTTTCCGTGTGCTGCGCTGGTGCTGGCTTGCAAGAGCAGCTTCGTCATGCTGGCCACGTGACCCGGAAGTGTCCTCGGATGGCGCCGGCTCCCGGCCTCTAGAGTGAGATGAGCGCACAACCCTAGAGTCGGACACGACTGGCCTTCAGGCAGGGGTACCTTTACCTTTATGACCTTTTAAAGTGTGGGTGTGTGGGTATGTTTGTCTTATTACTATGTTATGCATTTTTGCGTTTTTAATTATAAACCCCCCTGTGATCTTCGGATGAAAGGTGGTACAGAAATTTAACAAATAATAATAAAAAGGCTTTTAAAAATAAATTTATATTATACAATACAGTCACAGCGCAGAACTTAGCATTACATTTATGGCATCCTTGTACATGCTCTTAAAACCACATGCATTGCACCAACTCTGCTGCTTTCCCCCCAGGTTTTTAGGGCAACAGATAAGTTGCCGAGAAGCACAGTTGCACTTGTGAAGCTTGTTTATGGAACCAATTTTAAATAATTAGCAATGCAATACCGATTACCGCCGAGTCTTTTAATAAGCAAATACACTGGCAAAGTGCAGCAACTCTTCATGGTGTTATTGATTCTCATAGCTTGCAGTGATGATGGGAAGAGGAAGAAATGCAGTGCAGTTTATCTTAAGGTTTATATTCCTTGCTTTATGTGCGTGGATGGATTGACGTAAACAGTGTTGTGTTGGTGCTGTAAACCTGCGCCGTCCACACAGTAAATGAACAGAGCAGGGCTGCAGCTTAAAGATGGAAGGGGTCCTAGATTCCCAGAAAACATGAAAACAACCCGGAGGATGCACAGAGAGAAAGAGAAATGGACTCACGGCTCAAAGCCCTGGAAAGTAGTGCCAGGGAAAAGAGACTACATGGTCTCTTGCGCCTGGGAAGCAAATGGGCATTTGGGATTCTGGAGGAAGCTGAGAGGATTGCTCATCTTCTTTCTCGCCTGTGGGGAGCAGGACCACATGGGTCTCAGGTGGAACCCAGTTGCCCTCTGAAGTGAGACGGGATTGGAACGCCCTTCCGAAGGGTGAGGTAAGACATCTGCTCTCGTCAGAGATTGATTAATCCTCTCCAGCAAAATAAAGACTTCGCTATATTGCAGGAGTGTTTTGGTGTCGTGATCAAGCGCCTGACCTTTTCCTCGCATTAGCTTCCCTCTTCCCGGTGTGAATTACATTCCTTGAGCTGGAACACCTGAGGCATGTTAAGCGCGGATCTCGCTTGCTTGGGTGACAGCTTCGCCTGGTTCTTTTCCAGTAGTAAAGTTTACCGTGTGCTAGGCTGGCATCCTGCTGACTTGGTTCCCTGCAAATTAGCAAAGGTTGAAGAGCCCGATGGACTGAAAAAATGTAAGGGGAGCCGGCTGATCCGTCTAGTTCAGGCATCCCCAACCTTCGGCCCTCCAGATGTTTTGGCCAACAACTCCCATGATCCATAGCTAACAGGATCAGTGGTCAGGGATGGTGGGAACTGTAGTCCA